TCCTGTAAACCATTGAATAAAATTTGGTTCAAGATGTGTATTGAAATCAGAGTTGATTACCACACTTTTTTTAAATGATTTTATTACCATTCTTTCATTAGGTAAATAAGAATATTGATACATACAAGTATGATAGACAACTGTCACGATTTTCAAACAATTACACTCAACGGTGTAAGTATATAAATATCACATAGCTGAGAGGGTGATAGAGCAGATTTTTACCCCGAAAAAAACATTGTTTACCGCGGCGAAGCCAAGGTTGACAATGCTTTTTAGAGGGGTACCAATGTGTTATTTGATTTATTATACTGAATGTCCCATTATTATTGTCTTTTACAGATGCATTTTATTTAAAAGTATTTTCTGTGACGTGACATACATAACAACGTTACAGGTATTAAAAAAATCAACAGAAGTGAAGCAAGATGTTTAATTTTTTTGTTTTGACAGTCAAATAATAAAATCTGAGCCAAAACTTAGAACTTAAGCATTGTCTTTAATTACTTAATCTAAATTCAACTCATTGTCCTTTAAATTATCGTTGGTCTGGACGAGAGGGTGACATTCAAAAAAATTGTCTCCTGCTCAGCCATGGGATAGAGTAAATTATCTATCTTGTATAAGCCAATCAAAATATGGCATTTTAACGTGAAGTATAATAATATTAATTGGAATCACATCCTCTCAAATGCAGACTTAATTGACCACAGTAAATAAATCATGACAGTTGATAATCATACTTGTATTCAGGTATCCCTAAATTGAGTCCCTTATAAATGACAGTGTCCAGAAATATCATTTCTGTATCCAAAATATTGTATTTGAACTTAAGCAAAGTGTGATGACCATTTGCTGTTTCGAAGAATTCTTTAAAAGTGTCTAGATGTAGTGGATTTGATCTTTCCAATCCAGTATAAAAAAAATTACGAAACATTATAGTAAAAGTGATTTAGTTTTAGCTGTAAAAGAAGATCATATGGGAAATTGCATTGTCAATATTTACAGAAGAGCAACCTTTAGGAATGTCTGATGTAATCACAACTTCTGATGGGATTGGGGGCCAATTGGTTAAGCATATTATCACATGATTTAGAAATGAAATAAAATTGACAGTGCAAGTCCAGTGTAAAACTTTTAAGGTTGATGTAAAAAAAAACTGTGGCAAATATGTCATGCATGTTCAAGACGAGAAGAAATTAACAATAATACAATAGGTAAAGGTCCTGTCATATAGGCTGTCGGGATGAAGGTCAGGGAAGTTTAGACAGCCACAGGAAAATGAAGGTATATATTGGATAGGGACAGAAATTAAACCTGGCAACAGGCCACCTATAGACCCCTCAAAAAGTTGTTGACAGGGTTCTTAACATGTAAAGAGGCATTGGATTTAACGTCCCAAATCTGACGTAATGTGACTGCCAACTTGTACATCTGGCACAGCCAAATGGACACCCCATTTTTGACGAGGGTTTTACTGCTGGGTGGAGGAAGACCAATTGTGACCATATTTCTATTCCTCAGTCACCCATAGGTGACTTTAACTAGAGGAGAATGACTATATACCCTATCTAATCTATAGGCTAAGAAATAGTGTTGTCACCAATTTTAACCAAAGACAAGTGTGACAAATCAATTTTAATTAATTTTAGGAAAAGGAGTGTTTACCAGCAGAAATTTTAAGAAAGGAGATTTTCTCCTTGAATATGAAGGAGAGTTGCTTTCCAGCGAAGAAGGTGTCAGTAGGCTGGATGACCATGTGGCAAGTGGCATTGGTTGTTATGTGTTTTTTTTCAAAAATAAAGATGAAAAAAAATTGAGGTAAATGTGTAAATTTAAGGAAATGTCAATTGATGACTCATGATATGATTTTGATTTTAAGTAGAGAGTGATAATTTATAGAATTAAATTTTCTTATAAAAAATAAATCTAACTGGTTGTTCACAATGCAATAGGAAATATCTTTATTTTTATGTCTTGATATTGATTGATTGATTAATGTTTGCTTAACTTCAGTGGTACTCTGATATGATAAACTCCATATAAAATGATATCATTTTGTTGAGTCTGTGGCAGAAAGCTCGACATAGTGATAGTGATCTGGCAGCAGCTACGGCTGCGTTAACTAACTTCTTAAAAGCTTGACATTTTAGAAGGTTGAAGACCTGGATGCTTCCTACTTTGTATAGATGCCTTACATTATGAAGTTTCAGTCTGTCATATGGTCTTATTTTCTTTTACTGCAATAGGCATGATAGGTCAACTGTTTTTGGTGTATGGTAATATCTTAAGATGTACATCTGAGTCTGGCAGGTTTTATTTGACCTTGACCTCATTTTCACAGTTCATTGCTCAGTGTTAAGTTTTTATGTTTTGATCTGTTTTTTTTGTCTCGCCTTGACGGAGTCAAAAGGCGATACATAGGTATGCTGTTTGCGGCAGCGGCGGCGGCGGCAACAATGTATTAGTTTGTGATTAGGTCTAGTTCATGGTGAACCACTAGTGGTAGGTCAATGATATTTGGTATGCAGTTGTATTAGCATTGGCACATCTCATTACCATGGAGATTATTTTGCCCCGCCCTCTCAGTCAAGGTCTATTGACTTTGAAACTTTTCATAAATCAAATCAAATCAAATCAAATATTTTATTGTCGTATAAACTTTACAGTTTGTGACCAACATGTATTAACACAATAAACATATAATAAAACATATTTCATAATTTACATGTATTAGTTTGTGATTAGGTCAATTTATGGGGAACCACTAGTGGTAGGTCAATGATATTTGGTATGCAGTTGTATAAGCATTGGCATATCTCATTTCCATAGAGATTATTTGGCTCTGCCCCCTTAGTCATGGTCTATAGACTTTGAAAATTTTTCTAAGTTAACATGTATTAGTTTGTGATTAGGTCAGTTCAAGGGGAACCATTAGTGGTAGGCCAATGTTAATTGATGTTCAGTTGTATAAGCATTAGCACATCTCATTTCCATGGAGAATATTTGGCCCCACCCCCTCAGTTATGGTCTATTTACTTTGAAACTTTTGCTTAGTTTACATGTATTAGTTTTTGATTAGATCAGTTTAAGATGAACTGCTAATGTTAAGTCAATGATATTTGGTATGCAAATTTATTGGCATTTGCAAGTATCGTTTCCATGGAGATTACATAGCCCCACCCCTGATCATGGTTCATTGACTTTGAAACTTTTACATAGTTTACAAGTTAATGTTTGTGTTTAGCTTTGTTTAAAGGGAACGACTTAAATAAAAAGTCAATGGTATTTGGTATGCAGTTGTATTAGCATTGGCACATCTCATTCCATGGAGATTGTTTAGCCATATACCTTCAGTCATGGTTCATCGACTTTGAATATTTGCATAACTTACATGTTAAAGTATTCCTATTTTAATTTCAACATTTGCATTATCAAAATTACAAAAAGGCGAGACATATCTCTGTGATAACAGTTCATTTTAACTATCAGTAATAGGTCAAATATATTTGGTGTATGGAATGATTGTAAGGTGTATATGCCTGACTGGCATTGTCATCTGACCTTGACCTCATTTTCATTTTTCATTGGTCAATGTTAAGTTTTCCTGGTTAAGTAACAAGTTTGTTTCTAAGAAACTATATGCAAAAGGTCAACTGTATTTGGTGTATGGAATGACTGTAAGGTTTGGTTTATCTGACCTTGTTAAGTTTATGGGATACTTGTAGTAAGATTTAAATTTAGTACTATCAACATAAAATCAATGGCCAGTAAAGCAGGCGAGACTTAAATTTAATTTTAGTTTCTTGTGTATAATTTGGAGTTAAGTATGACGTCCATTATCACTGAACTAGTATGCATATTTGTTTAGGGGCAAGCTGAAGGACGCCTCCGGGTGCGGGAGTTTTTCGCTGCATTGAAGACCCATTGGTGGCCTTCGGCTGTTGTCTGCTCTATGGTCGGGTTGTTGTCTCTTTGACACATTCCCCATTTCCATTCTCAATTTTATTTCATTAAAAAAAGGACCCAAGGATCAGGAGGATTATATATATATATATACTGAACTTGAAGAAGATAATATGACAACTATAAATAGTTGCTTACAACCACATCATTTGGTCTTTAGATAGTTGTCTCATTGACAATCATTCCACATCTCTATTATTTATGCATGTTTATATATAAGGATTGAATTGAAATATTTTAAACTTAAATTTTTTGAAAAATTATTGGACTGTCTTTTCAGATCAGCCAGGTTCAAGGGTAAGCTCTGTCCAAGTCTTTTAATGAAGGATGAACTCTTTAGAAATAATTTTTATGCCCTCATCATAGCATAGGGGGCATTCAGTTTTACCCTTGTCCATCTGTCTGTCCGTTCGTCTTCCGTCTATCAGTATGTACGTACCTAAATTGGTTTCTGTTCTCTATCTTTAGTTTGCCTAAACTAAATGTTATGAAACTTATACACAATGGTCATTACCACAAAACACAGATCAAGTTTGAATTTCAGAAATGTCACTTCTACCATTCTAGAGTTATGCCCCTTTACAAATGGAAAAATTGCTGAATTTTTCATTTCCGTTCTCTAACTTTAGTTTGCCTCAAACAAATGTTATGAAACTTATATGCACTGCTTATTGTTAAAAAACATAGATCAAGTTTGAATTTTGGTTGCCCCACTTTTACTGTTCTAGAGTTATGCCCCTTTATAAATGGAAAAATTGCTGAATTTTTCACTTTTGTTCTTTAACTTAAGTTTTCCTCAAGCAAATGTTATGAAACTTAAACACAATGCTTATTATACCACAAAACACAGATTAAGTACAAATGTAGTAAACTGTATGGGTAGTGTCACTTTTACTGTTCTTGAGTTATGTCCCTTTATAATCTTAAATGCAAGAGGGGGCATCATCTGTGTCCCATGAATACATTCCCCATTTGTTAAATTATTCATTAAGTGCTTCATGTTGATTATGTTGTATTCTGTTCTCTCTTTTAGCATTGATGGCACATATTCTAGGCTTAAAGCCAGATATGTAAATGATGGTATAGGTATTGAAAAAAATTCTGTTATGAAAAGAATTGATGTTGATGACAGCCCCCATTTGGCTTTATTTGCTGTTAGAGACATAAAAACAGGAGAGGAACTCCGTTATGATTATGGGGAAACATCTAAGTACCTGCCATGGAGGAAGAAGTCAAAAATCACCAATGTACGAGTATGTATTAATAGCATTGCATTTTACACAACTGTATTTTGGTTTAATATGACAGCTTCTATTTGTATTGTTAATTTGTTATTTCACATGTTTAAGGAATGACTGTAATATTTTGTCTGCCTATGAAGAAATAACATCAAAATTGTGGTGCACACTGAATAATCTGCGTAGCGGGTTATTCTAAAGTGTGCACCACATTTTTTATGTTATTTCGAATAGACAGAAAAAATATATTACAGTCATTCCTCATAATTTAATTCTAAATGCCATTTTAAGCCGGAGTAAATCATGAAAAAACGTTGATGAGGCCACAATTAAAAATATTTCAGTTTGCCCAAACCCGACCCATGATGACTGGGTGTGGGTAGGTAGGTAGGCAAATTCTTATTTTTTGTTTATTAGAATTTGCATGAAAATATTAAAACAGTATATCTTATTTTTCCGTCAAATCTTTGTAGAGACATTGTCAAATTCCTGTACAACCTCAATAGATTCACTCATGTCAGGCTCGAAAGTTTGTATCCCACTCTTGTCGGATACAGTAACAACGACTTCATTGGTTTTCCGCATGTCCATCTCATCAGCAGAGATGCAACTAATCGTCGGACCTGTCGGCCCGAGGGGGCAGAAATTGAGCAGGTCAGGCAAATTGGGCTTTTGTGCAAGAACTAATGACCGGCAGGCAGTTCTCTAGGATTGTAGTAAGATTTAGCATTTTTGGTGCTAACCTATTAGTGGGAAATTGAAATTTGCCTTGTTGAAAATTTATTAATTAAAGTTAGTAAGTATGTTTGCTGTAGATGTTAAACATCAATGCTTTGTAGGTCAACTTTCGCGGGAAACAATGGGGATACATGAGATTGGGGAGAGAAACGGCAGTTTTCATTCTTTCTGTAACTGTAACTGTATTGCGAATCTTCTTCCAATAAAGGAGCTCCTCAATTGATGAGTAATATTATCCACCAAAATAAAAGTTAATGTATCTGAACACTTAAAATATGACATTTATTATATGAAAAGTAGTCTTCCATTAAAACAAAATTTTGTGTACCAACATAATGGTAAAAAAATTATAAATTTTCAAATGTTGCTTTTTGAAGTTTAAACATATTTATTCATGCAATTTACAAATATATCAAAATATACAAGGATAACAAAAAGTAAGATCTGGAAACAAGCTGCACACAGCTTATATCAATCTGATTGATTTTTGTAAGTACATGTATCCCTGTGATGAGAGTTGTAACTGGGAAGTTTAAAGAGGGAAATTTAAAACTGAATTGACTTTTCAGTCCTCACTTTCCTGAGAAAGTTGTAATCAATTAAAAATCTTAGAGCACTGTCAAAAAAAATGGAGAATGGCCCTAGCCTGATGTTCAGTGGTATACAATAAAAAAATTTAAAATATATTGTAGTAATTATTAAATAAAAGAACTCAATTGAATTTTAGATATTTTCTAAAAATAATCCACTAAAGCAGCTGTCACTGTAAAGACATCCTATCTCCGTTCTCTTACTGTATAAAAAGCTGATTTAAAAAAAAATGTAGGTCTGGCAAAAATTTGATGGGTCTGACAAAACTTGCTACCCTGTAGGCCCCAATGTCTGACAGAAAAAAAAAACTGTTTGCATCTCTGCATCAGGATCAGCAACCTCATCAAAAACATCATTCCAGGTTTTCTTATTGTTAAAGCGATAAAGCCTATTTAAGACACAATAGGCTTTATTTTTTGGTTTATTTTAAGTAGTACAGACGACGACAGCGTAAAAAAACTGTCTGCCATTTTCACATGTTTTACTTCTTTACGTTCGTTAAATCTGTGACAGAAGATAAAAACCGAGAACATCGATTATCGATTAACTGCGTCTCTTACACGCTTTCTTTTAATCTTATTCACAGTTACTTTCAAACGCAAAGACGACGAACATTAAGTTTTATACGATGGCGGAGCGGACACGAAAAAAATCTGAAAAAAAAATTCTTCAAAAAAACGGCAAAAAAAGAATTTGAGTCGGCGGGTTTTTTTTGGGTCGGTCGCGTTTGGGCAAACATACAATATTTTTATTTTGGCCTGATGTCACGGTCAAATGACAAAATAATGTCTATGAGCTGATATAAGATTATAACAGTTGTTGTTGATATCCATTTTTCATTTAATTTGTATATGCCTGTATACATATATACAAATAGAGACTGCTTGCTCATGCATGACTTTACAGTACAGGCATTTGAATGATTTATATCTAAGTCTGTCTTAAACAGAGACAAAAATGTTCATCAATACCTAATTTATATTAAGCCAGATGGTCAATTTTATCAAATCATAATTTGTGAAAAACACAGAGTGGAACACTAGTTAAATGTTTATGAGGCAACTCATCATTGCAATTTTATATTGGTTGTTAAGTTTTCCAGATATTTTTGTCATTCACCAGAAAGTTTTGTTTTATGACCTATCTGGCTTTGTTCAAGTAACAGAGTGAAGTTCTGCTTCCTTCTTTATGTCCCTGTTTACAGTTTCCCATAATATTTTTGTCACACTCAATTTGTTGTTAGGAGCTACAGTGTTCTCCCCAGGCCCTTAAAGGACCGCAGGCCCGCGATGTATATTTTTTTACCGTTGTGGTATCGTTCTTACTGCGATGTATACTTTTTCTCCGTGGTGCTAAAACTTTCAGTTAAAAAATCGTAAATTGGTAAAGTTTTAAACAACTTGTTAAATCTTTTCCGTGAGGTATAAAATTCCAGGTGAAATTTGACCAGTTCATACCAGTTCCACCTAGACTGTTTACACCACGTGATCGATTTACCTTATGAGGTTAACCTTTTTGATTGGATTTAATCGATGTTTTTAACACTTATAACATGATTCTTTTGTGTTTTAATTAAGAGATCAGCTCCATAACTTTATGATCACAGATAACTATTTATTTATGGCTTATTATTAATTCACTCACCACCCAAGCGCTGACCAGTGACAAGTCGGCAAATACTATGTACACAAACAGAGTGGACCGGTACATTTTTTGTACATAATAAAGTTGGATCTTTACGTATAATCGAATTGACATTTATACATTTCTCAATTCTTATATTATAGTATTATATGTCTGATTAATCCATGGCCAAAATCTTTAGTTATGACATAGTTATTGCATGACAGTCAGGTTTCAAACTATAGTATCTGTCAACAAGTAATTAAAAGGGAACGGACATCTGTACATATCACATGACCCTGAGTTAGTTCACGTAGAATATATTCAAGTTTATTTACAATTAATTGCAATCTATTCTATTTTATAAATAAAATGTATGACTGTACCTTCAAACTGGATATCTATATCCACAATTAATGAATAACAGAAGTAATTTTGCAAATTTTATCCATAAGCACATATTAAATATATTCATATCTACTTTCTGTCATTTAGGCGGGAAAATAGGGAGACTTTGTTGTTGACATTGAATATGGTTTCTTATAGATCTATAGACCTAAGATAAATTTATAGATTTAGGAATTCTTTTTAAATGGATCATGACAAATAAAGATTTAGATTTCAGTGCAGTATTAAGTCTGTAGATCTATCTATGTTTGATTATCACCAAAGACAAGAAAGGTTAATATTTACATGAAATCTATGGCAAAATGTTTTAAAATTAATGAAAAATTTCTTTTTATTAAAATTTAAGATAGAAACTGGTTCAAATAATAACACAATATTTGTTCTTATTAATTTTATATCTCCTTATGACAAGAGACATAAAAATTGCAGTAACTAGAAATATAACTAAGCGACGCGACGGGACGCGTTACCCTGGTGCTATCCAAAAATCCTGAGGAGAACACTGGAGCTACAAATCAGATTCCTGAAATTTGGTATCAGGCGTCATTTGAGCATGTTATATTGAGTCGTGCATTTTAAAGATCTTTGTCTTTAGAGTTCCTTTTTACTTTCAAGTACTTATGTATTCTTTCTCATAATGGCAATGTATGAAATTATCATGTTTTTCATGAAAAATGTATGTCAGGACTTCTTCATGTGTGTATTAATCTTCGTGTGATCATGATATAGTCATTTACCATGTGATATGCTTTTACATCCATCACTCATCACTCACTGTCAAAAACTACTGAATAGAATCAACTTCATACTTGGTCAGCAGCTCATGATGAATTGTTTCATTGTAGATCTTTCAGAATTTACATTATGTTTTCTGATTCTGTCATAAAGCAAGTGGGTGAATGCTAAGCGCAACACATGCATTCTTTTAGTTGAATAACAGAAAATCAACTTATTATTTAAAAGTTTTTATTATGACCACAAAATTTGTGTGGCAGTATAATGGTATGAAATTAGTGACACTTGGTTTCCAAAAAATAACCTGAGAAAAAGCCTACTGATCTCTATGAAAATTTACCAAAAAGTCCCATACTATAAATGGTAAAAAAAGGATTACAGAAAAAGTTTAAGTAGAATACAAAGAGCTTTAAGATTGCCAAAGGCACAGCTTCAACCACCCAATGAGCATCAAATTGACTAAAACCACTGAGTTTGTTGATAAATACAACAAAAAACAAAACAATACATTTATACATCTCAGATATTGTAGGCAAAAAGCAAAGGTCAACTATGTTTCGTGTAATCAATAGTCTGTCTACCAATTCCCATAATTAATTAATTGGGTTTTAAATTTTCATCAGGTTTAATTCTATCTGGCCTGAAATTTTCAGACGCATCAGACACCCCCAGAATTGGTAATTTTGAGGAAATTATGCAGTTTTTGGTTATTATCTTGAATTTTATAATACTAGATGGAGATAAACTGTAAACAGCAAATTTGTTCAGCAAAGTAAGATCTACAAATAAGTCAACATGACCAAAATTGTCACTTGACCCTTTGAGGAGTTATTGCCCTTTATAGTCAGTGTTTAACAATTTTTGTAAATTTTTGTAATCTTTTACAAAAATCTTCTCTGAAACTACAGAGACAAATTCAACCAAACTTGGCCAAAATCATCATTAGGGTAATTAGTTTTAAAAATGTGTCTGATGACCCAACCTTCCAACCAACATGGCCGACATGGCTAAAGATAGAACATAGGGGTAAAATGCAAGTTTTATAATGACCTCTACAAATTGTCCATATACTTCAAAACTGTTAGACAAATTCTTTTAAGTGTTATTGCCCATAAATGACAATTTTTTACAATTTTTTTTCAAAGGGCCAAGTGAGCTTTTCTCATCACTTGGCGTCTGTCGTCGTCGTCAGTTAACTTTTACAAAAAGCTTCTCTTCTGAAACTACTGAGCCAAATACAACTAAACTTGGCCTAAATCATCCTTAGGGTATCTAGTTTAAAAAATGTATCTGATGTAACTGATTCTTTAGTTATCTGTGTAATGTTTTGTGTATCGTCTTTTTAGCTCACCTGGGCCCGAAGGGCCCCGTGTGAGCTTATGCCATCGCTTGGCGTCCGTCGTCGTCCGTCGTCTGTCGTCGTAAACTATTTCAAAAATCTTCTCCTCTGAAACTACTGGGCCAAATACCTTCAAACTTTTAACTAAATGTTCCTTAGGGTATCTAGTTTATAAATTATATCCGAAGTTTTGATCCATCGACAAACATGGCCGCCATGGCTAAAAATAGAACATGGTGGTAAAATGCAGTTTTTGGCTTATATCTCTGAAACTAAAGCATTTAGAGCAAATCTGACATGGGTTTAAATTTTCATCAGGTTTAGATCTATCTGGCCTGAAATTTTCAGATGCATCAGAGAACCCATTTTTTGGGTTGCTGCCCCCGAATTGGTAATTTTGAGGAAATTTTGCAGTTTTTTGTTTTTATCTTGAATATTGTAAAAAATGAGATAAACTGTAAACAGAAAAATTGTTCAAAGTAAGATCTACAAATAAGTCAACATGACAAAAATTGTCAATTGACCCCTTAAGAAGTTATGCCCTTTATTATAAATTTTTTTGTAAATTTTTGTAATCTTTTACAAAAATCTTCTCCGTTTAAGCTACTGGGCCTAATAGAATTAAACTTAGCCACAATTTTCTATAGGGTATCTTGATTGAAACATGTATCCAATGACCCTGTCATTCAACCAATATGGAAGCCATGGCTAAAAATAGAACATAGGGGTTTACTATAGAAGCCTAAAGGAAAATTGTAAAAAACTAAAGTTATGTACTAGCCTGCAGGGCTAGTGAAATTATTATTCTACTAGTCCTCTTTTCAATTCACTAGCCCTCCTGCACGACCCTATCTAGGAGGGTTTGGGGGCATGCCCCCCCAGAAAATTTTGATACAAATGAAGCTAAATCCTGGGTTCTGGAGCATTTCCAGAGGGTTTTGAACATGTTTTGTTTCAAGAAATTTCACTGGTTTGCTTATAAAAAATACCAAAAAAAAAAATTAAAAAAATCATATTTTAATCATATTTATTAAGAATGTGTTCGACTTATTTTGAAGACCCCTTTAGATCATTACTTCATCATTATCCTCATTTTACTTATCATTATTACTAGTGTCTTTAATGAAGATGGATAAGTTAGGGATTTAAAAATACACTCACATAAGAGGAAAGCTTTGCCCTTGCTGTTTTTTGTCATAATTCTTCATGGACTCCTTCTTTTCCCTTGTTGTTTCAGTTTATTTTTTTTTTTGCAGGACAAGATTTTATTCCTAAAAATCTGTATAGTTTTACCAGAGACCAAGGAATTGTATAGTATACAAATCCTTGCAGAGACCTATAATTTTGTTTTTATGACAATAATTCAGTGATATTGTTTGCCTCAAATTACATTCGAAATACAGCTTTTTCCCCCTAGAGAAAATTCCCAATTACTAAAAAACTGACTTAAAATTCCTCCCAATAAGTTGTACATTTTTCCCAAACAGTGATGGTATCGGTAGTAATGTATGTAAATTTCGTATTCATGTTTTTATTTTGATATTATGAAAGCACTTTTGAGATCCAGGTTTCTGATTAGAATCATCACGGCGTTTGTAACACACGTGGTTAATTCAATGTATTAAGTACCATCATTGTTTCTGTTTCTTTCCCCTCCCCAAAAAGTACCTTTCATGTTAAAAATGTCTGACAATCAAAATTTACGTGAATTAACTGTAATTTTTACTAGCCTCTGGCTAGCGGACTAGCGTTAGTGTCGAACCCTGCTACAATGGAATGACCTGCTTTTATTATGGGTCAAATTAAACCAAACTTGGCCTCAATCATTATAAGGGTATCCAATACTATTAATTATGATTTTAACCTTATTTTAGGCAAACAAAAAATATATGTCTGTTTAAGGTTACATCCTTTAAAAAAATAGGGTAGGTAGGTAGGTATTTCCATTTTTTTTTTTGGCGAGATGTGTGATGTTGTTACATGTTGTTTTAACTAATATTAAGTGACTATATTAACTTTTTACTGTCATTATAAACTTAAAATAAATTGTTTTGTCCTTTCTATTATATAGGTTTATTAATGTACATGTATGCAGGCATATATGCAGAAATGAATTAATTCACCTTGTTGAATTTCAGTCTTGCAAGTCACCGTTACTTTGTATGTTTTTGCAGGTTGTTTACTATGGTACAGATCAAACACATCGGTACCAATTATTAATTTGTTTTGTAACGTTGTCATAATAGATTTTGTAAGCATGTGGTCGCATTTTTTTAACTTTAATGCGACCACGCTTGCTGCCTCAGCCTATTGGGCCATGCAGGCTGCCATTGAGATCTAGATCGTAAAAACGCTTCAATATCGAGTACGCGATTTTAAGATTAAAGTGCTCAGATGATCACGCACCTACTTTCACTTTTGTTTTAAACTGAAAGTAGGCGTTTCCGGCTTTGTACTTTCACTTTTGATTTCATTTTTGAATAAGGGTCAGCACCCCAAAATAGGGACGGTCGAGTAACCGTAAACGGATAATATTTTATTTTGGCCTTACATGATATCCAAAATAACAGTTAATACAGGTGAGCGAAACAGGCTCTGAGAGCCTCTAATTGCCGACTATCATGAAAACTATGATACTTAGAGAGAAACATTTTTTTTCCTTATGACTTATATGATTTAAATTATAATAGATAAATAGACACTTTAAATAAAAAAAATGATCAGCATGGCAAGGTCTATTTAAAAGTCAAATTTTGCCGATATAGTTAGCAGAGCTGATATTTTACAATATCAATATACAGACAACCTGATAATGGGTACTTATTTCTATCATGTAAGGAGAGATTTTCAGCATTGTTTTTTCCATTTAAAAAATCTCTGCTTACCTTTAGTCTGAAAAGTAGTTTGATACTTTTCTAGTTGATCAAATACTTACGGCTTTGATTCTAGAGATTTTCATCAAAATTTCATTTACAGTCTACAACCAATACAGATGAAGCATCTGATGATAAAGGTACATATATATTTATATCATTTAATTTAGATGTTGCTTGCTATCCTATTTCCCAAATTAAGGCAATTACAAAAGTTATTATTTTGTTATTTCAATTTTGAAATTTCAATCCTGGTACATGTTTCTAGGATGAGTTTATTCAAAAGAAAAATTGATAATCAAATGTTGGCTATGATGTAAATGAGAGACCAACCCTTAGACACTCCTTAAATGACAATGTATAATTATGAGGGAAAGTATATCAGTAAATTCAGAGATTATTGGGTCCAATCTTTCATTTTGATAGTTGATCAATGTAACAAATTTTTGTAATTAAGGGAAATGCTGTGTGTTACTCAGAATTTAAAATGCAGTTACTAATTAATTTGGGGCTAATCCCTTTTTCTTTATAAATGAATAATGAAAAATACTATTCTATGAGAATCAGACTAATTAAAAAGGAAAAGAAAGCATGGCTCAATTGATTTTTTATTTTTTAACGATAATTTTTTAATTGACAGAAAAGTACATAACCAAACTCTGTCGAAACTTTACGATTGCATCTAAATGTCTGTTTAAGTAAAACAAACTGAAACATCAGACAAATCTTACAAATTTATAGTAAATGATATAACAAGTGTACCATGATTCTGTGTGCTTTCTCATTTTAGACAGTCTTCCAAAGCATAAAGTAGAGCGTGAGGTTGTAAAGACACAAATGCCTCTTATCTCTCACTCCAATGATGATACAGAACATGATTCGAGTCAAGATAAAAATCACTACGATGCTGATGACCTAGAGTCGCATGATCTTTTAAGTTCTGTGAGCAGTCAATTAACAAATCCTGCAGATTCTAGTTCTATTAATAGTTCTCTTAAATCTCATGACAGTATTGTACACCATGAAGATATTGGAAGTACTCATGTACACAGTTCATATATTCAGTCACATGGCAAGTCAACAGACCCTGGAAATTCTTCTGAAGTCCTTTCTGCTGACAATAATGCGCCATCAATGGATGACCTTGACCTACTTTCAACAAAGCAGAAAATACTTAAACATACTGAAAGGGATGATTTTAGACAAGGCAGTTTATTGTGTAAGTAAATTTCATGAACAAAATATCTCCCAAATAGTTTGGTTTATACTTTATTTAGTTCATATATGATTCATTTATTTACTGCAGATTCAGTTTATTCAATGTATACTAATTTGTGGAATTCATGGGTATAGGAAATTAATAAATGTTTTGAACTGAGAAAGCTATCAATATAGTACAGATATATGTTTTTATCTAACCCGTTGAGAATATTTGCCTGTTTGTATTAGATATAATTGTAATGCTTTTTTCAGTCCTCTACCGACGAAGTCGAAGGGGACTTTAGGATTGCTCTCCGTTCGTCTGTCTGCATGGATTTTTCTAGCATTCCACAGGGTCCATTATTCGGACCCATTCCCAATGGCAATTACCCTTCATTTTTCCTAATTTTGGGAGCAAAATTCCCAAACGATCTCAAAATTTATTTTCATCTTTATTATTCATGACAGCGATGTTCATTTTGTTCAACTGCTAGCTTTATGCTGAAAATCGCCAACAAGTAATGTGTAAATCTGAGTAAAATCGTATCTGACTGACAAAAACAACATTGAAAAACAATGGTACCATAAACCGGAAATGAAGACAATTACAATACCGGATCAGATTCCGGGGTTGGATAAGGGTAATTCCAGGTTTGCCGATCAAATACAATAAAAAAATAATAATTCCAGGCAAGTGACAAAATACATCTATGATGATGAAATATAAACTCTAGAATTGAAAACTAAAAGATATATGGAAAAGAAAGATAAAGCAGGAAATATTTTATACAGAAACTCAAAATTACTTTTAGTTCACAAATTTTCATGTCAAAATCCAATAAAATGTGACAGTAATTTTCTTTATCATTAATAAATGTTGATATTACATGTAGATATGTTTTTATAGGTAGTGTAAACATATTACTACAATTCCAAGAGGTAATTTCTTCTCAATTTTGAAGGGCCAGTAAAAATCTTTCTTACTTTATTTTCACAATAAAAGATAACTTTTAATGAACCAAACACACTAAAACTCAAATCTGGTTTATTTGCTGTTTTCCCAATTTCATTGAAAAGCGTGTGAAAAAATTCCCACAACTGGCCAGGGTCCTTTTTCCCAAAATACCCAGAAAAACCCCTGGGACTCTGTCTGTCTGTCTGTCCATCGTCAGCACGGCAAATCAGTTTTCCACACTTTTTTTCTTTATGCTTGAAGATATTGATTTGATATTTGATATATTGTTTTATCATGGCAAGTTACAGGTCCTGAATCTTGTTCTGGTCTGATGATTTTGTGCAGAGTTATGGTCCTTAGACTAGAAAATTCACTCATATAATCAGTTTTCGGCACTTTTTTTCGTCATGCTTGAAGATATTAATGTGATAATTGGTATATAGTTTTATTATGACAAGTTACAGATCAAGTTCGAATTTTGTTACGGTCTGATGACTTTGTGCAGAGTTGTGGTCGTTGGACTTAGGAAATTCACTCAAATATGCAGTTTTCCACTCTTTTTTTCATCATGCTTGAAGATATTGATTTGATAATTGGTATACAGTTTTATCATGACAAGTTACAGATCAAGTTAAATTTTGTTCCGATCTGTTAGTTTATTGCAGAGTTATGGTCCTTGGACTTAGGAAATTCACTAAAATAATCAGTTTTCCGCACTTTTTTTGTCAAATTGCTTGAAGATATTGACTTGATACTTGTTGTATAGTTTACACCATGACAAGTTATAGATCAAGTTAGCATTTTGTTCCAGTACAATGAATTTTAACTGGTAGGGGACTATGTATTGCCATGCAATACTCTCAGAATGCTTGTTACTAATATGTGTGTGGCTCTGATCTGGCTGTGGTTTAACATCTTAGAATTGAGATGATTTTATTCATATTTATATATGATTTATATCAACATTATAATGTCAATTATCAAAATCATTGTAATAAATTACTTTGCTCTTCATGGGCCATTTAATTGGAATAAAAATATCTTATCTTATCTTATCTTATAGGTTATCCATTAATTAAATATTGTATGATACTTCAAATTAAATAAAAAAGTTATGTTTAATATACTTGAATGACTAAATTTTACTATGAAAAAGGTGTACCAGAGCTTCCAAAAAGGTCCTATTGTCCAGACAAGTCAAGACCTCTAAGCTAGCATAAGACCGACAGGACATGTCCTGTAAAAATATATTCTGTCCTGTCGATTTTTGTTAATTTTGTAATACATTCCTAAGAAAAATTTGAAGAATCATCAGTTTGGTCCTGTAAATGCCAAAGCCCAATTTCTATGACTGCAAGTCTGACAAATTATATTCTGGACAGGTTGTGCCAAGCCTGATCTGGGCATTAAAAATGGGTTTGCCATTTTCAAATAATTCAGAAGAAAATTGAAGTTAAACACAATTTTTTTTACCTTACCATTTATATTACACATACACACATGTCCAGTCATAGAAGTGACATTTATATATGATTAATTACTATAAAACATGCCACCCTCATTGCAATCAAGGGTAATTATTTAATTAGTATTCTGCAAGAATGCCTGGCAGCAACCCGTACGAAATTATAAGGCGTATTACGCCTTGAAATCTGGCGTAAACCAGGCGTAAACCTGGCGTAAGTGGTAGTTACGTGTCCAGATCCACATGTAATGGAGCAGGAAACGTAAATTTGTAGCATTTCCAGGCGTAGAAAAAAGTGGTAAACCTGACGTAAAATAAAATAAGCAAGGCGTAAATTTTCCTACGGGCGTAAAACTGTTGGAAGGGCGTAATTCATAATACCCATAATGCTTTGTTTAAAGGATCATGGGAATTTTATTCAAAATTTGGCTCTCTGGTATTAGCTTGCAAGAGTTGGACATATGGCAGCTTGAAATATTCAGGGGAAATTAGCTTTTTTTGTGCTTTTTGGAAGAATTTGAAATTGGAATTATGGAATCAAATTGATGAATGAAAATTGTGAAATGAAAGGAAAGTAGTATACATGGTAAAGAATAAGTATGTGAGTAAACTAAGTTATTAAGTTTTTATTTTTTAACATTATTTCAAATTCTGGAAATCCTCACTCATCCTTGGATAATAACATTTAAATCTTTCACAAGTTAAATGACAATATTATCATTGATTTTTTAGTTCAATTTGATAATGACATTAATTTTCAAAACAAGTTAATCCTAATGCTAGATTTATTTCAAAAAAAATTAATTGTCATAATTCTTATATGTCTTTATTTAAATTATAGCTTCTTCAATTGTTAAAATTATTTCAAGTTTTATGTCAAACAGTGAGAAATTTAATCAACAGTACAAATTTGTATCAAATACACAAAATACACAGCACGGGTAAAACACTGATTTAAATTAAGTGTAGTATTATGTAAGGACATTACGCCTGGTTTATTTATTGACCAGGCATACTCATTTGCATATTACGCCTGGTTTTCTGTTCATTTAAATATTACGCCTAATTTAACGCCGGGTTTCCGCCTCAGTTACGCTTGGTTTCCGCCTGGTTTACGCCTAGTTGACGCCTGGACATGCATTCCTTAAACACTGCAATGACGCCAGGATAAAATATGATTTCTATGACTGGTTTTAGTGTCATTTACAGGCGTCACATTTTGTACAGGAGTTACATTCTTGTTGCATACTGTACGTTTCACATACCCCTTGTGCCCCTTAATTTTGTTTCTCCAATACTTAACATAAATATTAGGAATGGGTTGGAATTCCTGATGAGTGCTCAACCCTTACATCCCATCTCCTTTGTTCTACCAGGGGTGATCTGAGCCGGATCACCCCTACCAGATCACCCTACCTTGAGTTTCTTTGTTTTGCATGCTTTCCTTTGTTTTGTAACATTTTGGCGGGACTGTCAAATCCACAATAAACTTAGAATTATTTATACAGAAAAGACTTACTTTCAAAATGTATGTAGAAAAAATCCAGTAAATAGGCTGGGATTCGAACTCAAGACCTTTAGCATATAAACCCACGACTCAAACCTCTACACCAGGATGACTGGATACGAACTCACTGTTAATTTAATATACTCAAACATTGTGTTCGGGGATCATTAAGAGTATATACTATATAATTATATATAATGTATATTATAAGGATTGTGTGGCGTTTTAAATTAGATTTTATGAAGCGTTAATGTTTATGTAACTAATCTAGAACAGCTGGGATGTAAAATAGTTATCCCATTCGGACTTGGTGTGTCAGTTTAAGATCACCCTGTGGCCTACGGCCATCAGGATGATCTTACACTGACACACCGCGTCCTCATGGGATAACTATTACTTCCATAATCTCTGACAGTGGTGTAATAGCATAAAATAACTGTAAAAATCAATTAGAAATAGGTTTGCTCATCAGATCAACATGCAATCTAAAAACAACTAATGAAAGACAAAAGACACTAAGTACCAATCTAATTGTACTTGCAGTTACTGAAAACTAGTTCAAAGCCAACAACTACTAACAAATAAACCATGTTCTCCGTGACAGATTTAGTGTTAAGATGTCATAAAAAGTAATGCAGTATGAGGAGTAGTTTTGCCATGCTAAATTATAAGTGCATAATATTGATAGGTTTTAGGACCATATGTTTTTATGAATGAATAACAAAACATATTTAGTTATATATCATGTATATGTTTAAACAAGTTCAGTGTTTGTTTGTTATTTCGGAGGAACCATGTGTTGATGATTGATGTGATCTGTTGTGCTATGCAATATCTGTGTGATTCCTGCTTCTAGTGCATATTACAAGGTTGGTAGGCAAGACTATTTTTGAAAACATCGTCTTCAGCATCAACCTTTTTGTAGGTCAGTGTAAGATGAGCAACTAATTATGGTCACTGATAATTGGTATGCCACAATAATTGGTATGCAGTTGGGTCAACATTATAACATAACTAATATCCAGGTAGATTATTTGCTCCTGCACTTTCAGTCATGGTTTATTGACTTTGAATAATTTACATAGTTTTTATGTTAAAGTATGCCATTTCAATTTCAACATTTCCATGATAATGTCAAAATAAGATACAGACTATACCTTTCTCTTTGTCAAAAATTTGTACATGTATACATTATATTGTATAAACTTCATACATTGATGGTTTAGTCTACTCCATGAAATCAAGGTTGTAAGCTTTGGGAGATTAATCCAGTATTGCATTTCTATTACAAACAGGTGAATCTAGTTTACTTGAAAGCAAACAGAAAATGTGTGATGGTAGTCTACCTACTGAGCAAGTGCTGTCTTCTAAACTTCAGGTAAGACACATTGATCTTGAAAGATTTTTTTCTGTTTGGGCCCTGGGCCCCCCTAAAAATTTCAATAGGCCATTTTTGTATTAACTAGAACACACAAGCGACATGGCAGGCCCGTGACTGAATGAAAGTACCTATGTCTTATTTTTAGCCTGGATTTTTAGTTCTCTTATTGTTATTTGATAAAGTCATACTAATTATAAGGTGCACAGTTTTCTCTGCTCTCAAAATCTTTCTGTTTGAACCAGTCCTGGTTTTCTCACTACAATATAGTAGTGGTACTCCATATTGTGGAGGAAAGAATAAAGAAGAACTACAACAGGAAACTACAGGTGACATATTCTATTGGTACATATATCAGTATGGTATTAGACCCAGAACTTGTGAATTATTGGTAATATTAATTATGTGGGGAAAAAAAGGGCCTGGAATGTTGTAATTTTTATACGCCTGTCAATTTTTGACGGGACGTATTATGGTATACAAATGTCCGGTGTCCGTCCGTCTGTCTGTCCGGCGTAAACATGTCGCACCGTAACTTGAGAATGACTTATCTAAATTTCATGAAACTTAACATAGTTGTTTCTTATGATGGTCAAACGATCTGTATACTTTTTGGTGAAAATAAGATTAAAACTTTTTGAGTTACGGAACTTATTTAGTAACTAAAACAGGTATGTGTTTTTTTTCACATGTCGCACCTTATCTCAAAAAAAATTTATGATTATTGCTTAAAACTTTACACACTTTTTAGTTATATTTATCTTAAGATCTGTATACTTTTTGGTGATGATTCAAAATTTTATTTTTGAGTTACTGAGTATTTTGTCAAAAAAGGGGGATGGGTTTTTCACATGTCGCGCTGTATCTCTAAACGATTTATGATTATTGCTCAAAATCTTACACACTTCTTAGTTATATTAATCTAAAGATCTGTATACTTTTTGGTTTTGATTCAAAATTTTATTTTTGAGATATTGATTTTTATTTTTTTAAAAGGGGGGTTTTCACATGTCACGCCTTATCTCAAAAACGATTTATGATTATTGCTTAAAATTTTACACACTTCTTAGTTATATTAATCTAAAGATCTGTATACTTTTTGGTTTTGATTCAAAATTTTATTTTAGAGATATTGAGTTTTTGTTAAAAAAAAAGGGGGTTTTCGCATGTCATGCCGTATGTCAGAAACTATTTATGCTTATTGCATAAAAATTCACACACAAGACGATGGGCGTATCATGCGCTCATGGCACAGCTGTTTATTAATCAACACCATTGTCCTACATTAGTTATAGATAAAGTTGAATTCTTAATTCGTTGTTTTTACATATCATGCTGGCTAATAAATTTGACCTTGTTATTTTAGTATTTATGATGAGCCATGTTGTCAAATGAATGGGTCATTCGTATATAACAAAAAAATAAGAAAGCATATATTTCAAGAAAGAGGTACTAACCTGTATGATTTTAATTGATATTGTTCCTATGCTTTTAGCTTCAGTGAATAAATGTTTATTTAGTTCATGGTGATTTATGTGACAACCCAGCAAACACAATTACATCAGTACAACGTAACTTTTAAAGTAATTTTTGGTTGCGTTTACGTCATTAACTAACATTATTTTTAGGTAGAAATGGATGGTATCAAATACATCTTCCTGAAGTAATTTTGACGTCGGTACAACATATTACTGACCTTGAAATTACTTAATTTTACTAACAATTCCATATACAGACATAATAGTAACATCAAAATGACGTATTTTCAGTCAATTGAATCACGTCGTTCTGACATCGTTTCTCCTCATCATGATACTATTTATTAGGATACTACGTTTTAACTGTGTTTTGACCTCATGTTTTTTAATAATGACAAAATTCAAGTCATGTTTACATGTAATGAACCGAGCTCACCATTCATCTCTATTTCTATCAGTATTTTAATCACCTGATCCATTAATATTGAAGGAAGAATTGATTTGTCACCAAGGTCCCACAGAGCACTGTTAGATAAGGGGGAGCTAACTCGTATGTGCTGGAACCTAGGGACAGGGGGTCAGTCTATCGCTAGACTTAATGTTCTGATAGGCATAGCTAAAATGAAAGGAAGGTTTTCATAATTTAATCAACGATAACAATTTAGATGGATGATGATAACAATCAATTAGTAAACAATGCCAAATAATAATAATAATTAAAGTACAAAGTAAAAAATCTAAATATCAACTCCAAAGTAAAACTATTTCTCCTTACAATGTAAAATGTAAAATAAATGCCAAAACTACTAAATCATAAAATGAACTTAATCTCAAAATCAAAATGTAAAAGTCTCAAAAATAAAAGATTCTCAAAAATATTTTCCAAAGTTAAATTATGAGTCAGAGATAAATTTTGTCTCAACACTAAACCGTCAACTGGTAGACTGGTAGACAGTCTTGTAGGTCCAGTATCATGACGTGAGTAGTGAGAGGAAAGCTTCCGAAACACTGACTGTTTTCTAAAAAATTATCAAAAAATAAAAGGTGAGTCAAAAATAACATTTTTGTCTAAACACTACAAAGTCAACTGGTAGACTGATCAACAGTCTTACAGATCCAGTATAGTAGACTTTAGCAGTGCAAGTTTAGGTCCCAAAAAGATGACTGATTTTCCTAAATTTTACTAAATCCAAAAATAGATAAATATGTCTCGACATGTTAATATTACTCTCATTAGCAAAAATAGACTTTAATTAACAAAGCCTAATCCTATAATGTTTTGATAAAATCTTAAACTTTTAAAGTGAAATATGCTAATTACAATTAATATTTCAAAACAAAGTGCTTTGAGCAAACTGTGACATTTTGAGTATTAATGCCACAGCATAGGTAAAAATCAATTAAAACAAAATTAATTAAAAATTTTACAAAATACAAATATAAAATTTTCTTTCTTAAAATAAAACATATTTTTTATCCAAAATAACACTAACACAAATATAAGCCAAATAACACACCATGACAGATTACCCGTCTGGAGCACATGATCTTTTTTCTGATTTTTGTGGGTTTCGTGTAACTGATTCTTTAGTTATCTGTGTAATGTTTTGTGTATCGTCTTTTTAGCTCACCAGGGCCCGAAGGGCCCCATGTGAGCTTATGCCATCACTTGGCGTCCGTTGTCGTCCCTCGTCTGTCGTCGTCGTCTGTCGTTGTAAACTATTTCAAAAATCTTCTCCTCTGAAACTACCGTGCCAAATACCTTCAAACTTTTAACTAAATGTTCCTTAGGGTATCTTGTTTATAAATTTTATCAGAAGTTTGTATCCATCGACAAACATGGATGCCATGGCTAAAAATAGAACATAAGGGTCAAATGCAGTTTTTGGCTTATATCTCAAAAACTAAATCTTTTAGAGCAAATGTGACATGGGGTAATATTGTTTAATTGGTCAAGACCTATCGGCCCTGAAATATTTCAGACGAATCGAACAACCTGTTGTTGGGTTGCTGCCACAGAATTGGTAGTTTTAACAAAATTTTGCAGTTTTTATACAACCGCAAAAAAATTTTGTGGTCATATATTGATATGACGTTGGCGTCGTCTATGCCGTTGTCTGGCGTCGTCGTCCAAAGACTCATTGGTTTTCGCACTCTAACTTTAGTTTAAGTGAATGGATCTCTATGAAATTTTACCATAAGGTTCAATACCACAAAAGGAAGGTTGGGATTGATTTTGGGGTCTATGGTACCAACAGTTAAGGATTTAGGGGCCAAAAATAAGCATTTTTGTAACTTCCAGACATAACTTGTGTGTTAGTTTATGGATCTCTCTGGCATTGTACCACATCACAAGGTTCCATATCACAAAGGGAATGCTTGGATTGATTTTGGGGGTAATTGCCTCAAAATTTTAGGAATTAAGGGCTAAAAAAGGGGCAAAAACAAGCATTTTTCTAGTTTCATGACAATAACTTGTGTGTAAGTGTATGGATCTTTCTGAAATTATACTACAAGGTTCCATATCACAAAGGGAAGCTGGAATTGAGTTTGGGGGTAATTGCCCAAATCGTTTAGGAATAAGGGGCCAAAAATAAGCATTTTTCTAGTTTCCAGACAATAACTTGTGTTCAAGTGTATGGATCTCTCTGAAATTGTACTGCAAGGTTCCATATCACAAAGGGAATGTTTGGATTGATTTTGGGGGTAATTGCCTCAAAATTTTAGGAAATAGGGGCCAAAAAAACAAGCATTTTTCTAGTTTCGTGACAATAACTTGTGTGTAAGTCTATGGATCTTTCTGAAATTGTACTACAAGGTTCCATACCACAAAAGGAAGGTTGAGATTGATTTTGGGGGTTATGGTACCAACAGTTAAGGAATTAGGGGCCAAAAAGGGGCCAAAAATAAGCATTTTTGTAACTTCCAGACATAACTTGTGTGTTAGTGTATGGATCTCTCTGACATTGTACCACAAGATTTCATATCACAAAGGGAATGCTTGGATTGATTTTGGGGGTAACTGCCTCAAAATTTAAGGAATTAGGGGCTAAAAAAGGGGCAAAAACAAGCATTTTTCTAGTTTCATGACAATAACTTGTGTGTAAGTGTATGGATCTTTCTGAAATTGTACTACAAGTTTCCATATCACAAAGGGAAGCTGGAATTGAGTTTGGGGGTAATTGCCCAAAACGTTTAGGAATAAGGGGCCAAAAAGGGGCCAAAAATAAGCATTTTTCTAGTTTCCAGACAATAACTTGTGTTCAAGTGTATGGATCTCTCTGAAATTGTACTGCAAGGTTCCATATCACAAAGGGAATGTTTGGATTGATTTTGGGGGTAATTGCCTCAAAATTGTAGGAATTAGGGGCCAAAAAGGGGCAAAAAACAAGCATTTTTTTCTAGTTTAAGGACAATAACTTGTGTTTAAGTGAATGGATCTTTATGAAATTGTACTACAAGGTTCCATATCACAAAGGGAAAGCTGGGTTTGAGTTTGGGGGTAATTGCCCTAAATGTTATGGAATATGGGGCCAAAAAAGGGCCAAAAAACAAGCATTTTTCTAGTTTCCAGACAATAACTTGTGTTCAAGTGTATGGATCTCTATGAAATTGTACTGCAAGGTACCATACCACAAAGGGAAGGCTGGGATTGAGTTTGGGGGTGATGAATCATAAGGGGGTTCAAAAAATTTGGGGGGGGATTTTTTTTTCCTTTTTTTTTCTTTAAAATTTTCCATTTTAAATTGGTTATTTCTGATTTATATATAAAAGCAAATAAATAATAATGATATGGTTTGAATAGGTAAATTAAAAATTTTTAAGTTCTTAGACCACATTCATTCTGTGTCAGAAACCTATGCTGTGTCAAATATTTAATCACAATCCAAATTCAGTGCTGTATCAAGCTTGAATGTTGTGTCCATACTTGCCCCAACTGTTCAGGGTTCGACCTCGTATCAAGCTGCACCCAGTGGAGCATTTTATTTGTTATTATTTTGAATATTACTATAGATATATGTAAACTGTAAGCAGCAATAATGTTCCGTAAAGTAAGATCTACAAAAAAGTTAATATGACCAAAATTGTCAATTGACCCCTTAAGGAGTTATTGCCCTTTAAAGACAATTTTACACAATTTGTTCATCAAGTTTGCTAACATTTAAAAATCTTCTCCTCTGAAATACAGGTGAGCGATTCAGGCTCTTGAGAGCCTCTTGTTTTATGTTGGCAATGGTCTTGTCCCTTTTTTATTTCTTATTCTTGATGGCACATTCTAGTAACAGCTTGATGCACTAAGACTACATGGGATGTTTCCATCAGGCTAAATTCAGAACTCAAATCATATCAAACTATAATTCAATTTGATTCTTTCATTAATTGAACAACTATGCAATGATAACATATTAGTAAATGTTCACTACTCTCAGTATGGGTTAATCTCCTTCCAAAATTCCTAAGTACGGGAAAACTAGATTTATTCATATTCTACACCCGGTAAGTCATGTTAAGAAGTTTACTTTGCTGTTGAGCAGAATTAAAGTTATTTTCTTTGAAAATTTGGATCATGGTTGGTTACATTTATTTTGTAATCAGATATACCGCACGTTGCTATCATTAACATGAAGCAAAACACCAGAGATGTACCAAACATGTAGTTGGTGATCCTGTCATTGGAGTGAAACACAACACCTTTTTGTACACAATTATGGTGACATGAAACATGATCAGAAATTCATTTCAAGATATCTAAACGTTAAAGAGCGAATATACTGTATGCCACATTGGTGCTGACATTTGTCACTCACTCCACCATTTTTTTGTCAAAATGTGCATATTGCTCATGGCGCTGGACGTTTATGATCACTGGAGACACATTCTACCTTATTATTGAAATAAGTTAAATTATGTATAAGTGATATAAATAAAGTATATGGTTCATAAATTTATCACACAATTCCTTACATGCACGTTAACAAAGGCAAAGGACCAGCAATCATATTGATAAAGGTCAGAGTAAGACTTTCAAAATGAAGTTGAAGCTCACATTAAAGTTCAAGAAGATCCTAGCACCTGTTTGTTTTGAAATACCTATAATATCTTATGTTAATCATGTTTGTTAGAATAATCTATCAAACTCTGTGAACAGATTTACCATAAGATGACAAATTCTTGACTCATTTAATCCTTTGATATAAAGATAGTGTTTTAACCTGCACAAAACCTATAGTTGACATCACTATGAACTGCTCAGAGTCTGAAAATACCATATTTTGTGCTCAACAAGAAGCACAGGTTAAACTTGACACGACTTGACATAATATCAACTGTATTTGACAGTACTTGACTTTGATCTAGACTTTAATTAATAATTCTGATTGAGTACTTGATACTCTTTGTATAGTCTGAATATAGTATTGACAAATGCTTGACAAGTCTTAGCCAGTCTCAACTCAGTCTTGACTAGTCTCTACTCAGTCTTGACCAATCTTGACCTTTAATTTAGTCTTTTATAGTTTTGACTTGGTCTGAATCAGCCATCTGGGTCAATATCCCTAATGCGCCTCCAATTGAGGAACACAAAAGATGTGGGTAAACAAAAAATCTCTGTGTAGTGATATTGGACATGTTTCTATTTTTAACAAGTGACTGAGCTTAACCATTTGTGTTGATTAAAAAAGTAGATGACCATAGAATAAAAGTGTAAAAACTATGGAGTTATTAAATGTATTCAAAGTATTAAATTTTCAAAGAACTTATAGTGTGAAAAAAAGGGATTTTTTACCACAAGGAGCTGAGCATCACGAAAGGATTTTTGGGGTATGCTAATTTACAGAAAAAATTAATCTCACTTCGTACCTCGAAAATTAACCACATATGTGAAAATGTGTCAGCTTCGAAACAAGCCATCATACATATCCAAGTTTCTGATATGGACTGAGCTGCAGAAGAAAACTTTACCATTACCCCCTATGGAAAATCTTTTGCACATATTGCCCCATCTATGTCAATTATATATTGATCTTACAAAATGCCAGGTTTCTTGTTCATTTAGTTTATTGCTGTCAAATTTAAGATTTAATCTATTAGTGAAAAAGCTAGATTTTCAGTTTGGATTAAATTCAGGTAGTCACCTTTAAAAATTTCTATAACTTTTATCAATCAAATGGATAAAACTCTACAGCTATCTCAAATATATGTTGGTCTTACAAAATGCCAGGCTATCAATGGTAGTTTGGTTTATTGCTGTCAGTTTAAAAATTTAATTAAGCTGGCTCAGGTGTCTTTCTCTATCTTGGATTTTGAAGTAGCAGATAACAGTTGGTCTAGATCTTTAATAAAATGTGCAAATTTTGAGAGCAGTATGTAATTCATGTGTAAAACTTTTGATGTAAATATAGAAAATTATGTGTTTTATCATATTTACGGCTGTAATTTCTAAAAGAACACCATAATGGTGTTTGATTCATTTTTTTCAACTTTGCGATATAAGGGGAGATAACTCAGATAAAATAATGTTTTTAATAGAAAGTATTGTGAATTTACCTTTTATAATATGTAGTAAGAAAACAAGTTCGGTGACCTGGTTTTTTTCTTTTTCTTATCTGAAAGCATGTTATAAGAGCTATTTTCTTATATTTTGTCTTAAAATTCTATCATGTAGTTTTCTTTTTATCCCACAAAACTGGATTTTCCATGCATAATCTATACAAAATCTGACAATTTTGCACAACCTGTAGCATGAAAAAAAGTCCAGTGAGCCATACTTTTTATTATATTTTTGACATTTTATTAAAAAATTCTATGTATTTTAATTAAGAAAAAAAAAAATTCTTAACTTTTTCAAATCAACTTGGATTTGATAAAACTCTACACATATCTCAATTATATATTAATCTATCTGAATTTAGTTCAAAATAAAATTTCTTTAAAATAATTTCACCTATTAATTAAATACTTTAATTTGACAGCAATAAACCAAATTGCCAAATAATCTGGCCTTTTGAAAGAACAAGAGAAACTTCAGTACACATGATCATAATAATGTGAATATATATATATTAAAACATTTGCCAATTTAGGAATTTGACCCTATTTTCAAGGTTCACAGAACATCAAATTATGATAGTACAAGTGGGGCATTGTGTTTCCTTGTGAATACACATTCATGTTTTTCTTTTTAATCTATTTTTGCAAACATAATTTGTTGGATAAATTGATTTGCCATTTTTATACCCCTGCTTTTAAAAAGTGGGGGTATACTGTTTTACCTCTGTCCGTCCGTCCGTCCGTCCGTCCGTCCGTCTGTCTTTCCATCCATCCATCCATTCATCAGTCTGTCCGTCTGTCCCATGAATATTTTTCGTCCCATCTTTCTTAGGAACTACATTACAAGGATTTCTGAAACTTAGTTTCAGAGTTTATATGAGTCAGTTATACCATATGATGTATTTTCAGATTCATCTGTTAACCGAACACTTGCATCATTTTACACATGACATCCAAGTTAAAAATATTTGTCACATTTTTCTCAGGCACTACATTACAAGGATTTCTGAAATTTGGTTTCAGGGTTTATATGAGTCAGCTATACAGTGTGATGCCTTTTCAGATTAATCACTCAACAATTTCCTGTTTACCAAAAACACTTACATCATTTTACACATGACACCCCAAGTTGAAAATTTTCGTCACATTTTTCTCAGGAAATACATTACAAGGATTTCAGAAATTTGGTTTCAGGGTTTATATGAGTCAGCTATACTGTGTGATGCGTTTTCAGATTCATCACTCAACAACTTCCTGTTTACCGAAAACATTTACATATTTTTACACTATTACATGTATTAAGATTATCCAGTTGCGGTGGGGGTATCATCAGTGAGCAGTAGCTAACAGTTTCACTTTTTTGATATGTATGCTACAGAATTTGAAATGTTTATAGTTTCATTTTCAATCATGTCCTGATGCAGCAAGAGCTTATTGTTCGAACACTGGATTGTGTTAAAAATTGGGTGTCACGGTAAAAATCAGTTAGACAAGTTTTTGTATTTATTCAGTAAAGTTACATTGAAAAATGATTTTTATTTGGAATACTTATGGTTTCGTTTTAGTTGGATAATGAAGACTGTTTTTTTATTCCAATCTATGTAAACTGACTCTTTGTTACAAAAAATGGCACAAAAAACTTACCATTATCATTATATTTCATCATCAGAAAAGTTTCTGTTGCATGAAAGACCTACAATGCCACCTTGTAAAAGTCATTGTTGCATCACATTGAAGTCACATAATTTTAATATGAAAATAGTAATATATTATGCACTAGAATCTTACTATTAGTTGGTGCATGACCATTGCAACAAATTAAGGTCTTTGTAAATTAAAAAATTTTGCTTTCAGATGACTAAGAAATGCTATGTTAGTCTGAAGAGATTTTGTATTTCTAAACTGAAAGGTAACATGTTAATACTTAGATATACATTGTATATGTGTTTATATGATATATGAAATCGTTCTATCTTTAAAAGTACAACTATCAGGAAAACTGTTATGGTAGCCAATCTGACAACTATCCTCCAGAAACAAAAGGATGGGAATGTAAACAATAATAAGGCACTGCATGACCTTCAACCATGAGCAAAACCCATATCACATTATGAGCTACAAATCCTTTGTTGTTACAAGTTTCAGCATTATAATTATGACATTGCTGTAAAAATGTTATATGAACCAACATTCTAAATCAACATAAACAATGATTTGAGCTTGTTTTCAGTAACTGTAAGCATTCTATTTAAATGTGGCAATTTGTAATTTATTTTGTGTTTATTTTGTATAAAATGATAGAGTTTATTATAATTTGAAGGAGCTATAGGGTAAATGTCAATGAGACAGCAACCCATCAACAAAATTGACAAAAAGACATGTAGACAAGCAACATTAAGTCTTCAAACTGTGTCAATCTCCTAATTGTCCAGAGTCTTTAAAAGTCGTGAATATATTTAACTAGCACAGATCTGTCATTAACAACCATTTCTCCAATTAATATAAAGGTTGTACTAAATTAACATATGGCAACTACTATCAAGGTTCCTGACTCTGGAAAGGGACATGCAAATGTGGGAGATATATTAATTAATTTTGTATTTTGAGATCTTTTAATCTTGATTTGTTAACTTACTATATACAAATCCTACATGCAAAAAAAGATGTTTCTTACATCATAGAATATAAACTTACAGAAAGGATAAGTTATTATCTTTTAATGTATTTTCTTTACAGGTGGAAGATTTAAAGTAGGACAACCTGGTCACATAGGTATGAAACTGATGAAAAACTCTAAATGTATAAGAAGTACTTGGCTAGTCCCAAAAAGATTTGAATATGAGTTACTGAATTTTCTTGAATATTGATAATTAGTATTGCATTAATATGAATGATTATTGCCAATGTACTTGTCTGCATTTGGTTAATTAAAAGGATTGTCCTGAATATGCATGAAATATTTGTCACAAAACATATAAACTAAAAAGTGTGAAAGTTTATTTTCCATCTATGAGTTTGACTGTCCCTCTGGTATCTTTCGCCCCTCTTTTGTAAAATATAGGCACACAGGATATACCTGTCCCAATCTGCTGTTTTGTGTAATCATGACAAATAGCGATTATGGTAGCCTTTGTGGCAGGGTACATATGTAATAAGACTAATCTTTGTATTTATGAAAGAATTTAGTAAAGGTTTTAAGTAATGAGTGGTAACAAAATCTCTGATCTCTGGAGTGTAGTCTAGTGTATCTGAGTCCAAAGTTCATAAATGTCAACCAAATTGAAAGGACAATCAAAAGCAAGTAATTTGTCAAAAGCAAGTAATTTGTCAAAAACATCCAGAGAGTTTTGAACACTCCAAAAATAATTTTTTCCGTTATTTTCATATGCATTATTACAATAGTTAGTGTGTTCTCTTTAAGTAGTAAGGAGACTAGTAAAAAGTACTGAATAATTAGTTGAAGAACGCTGACTTAGATAAACGGAAACTTCATTGTTTTCTTTGTATATAATAGTGTAGGTATCTGACACAGTAAGGACATTTCATTCATTGAACAAATCTTGAGCTGAGTTGGTGCAGTGTTTTGATTGTTTTTATTTGGCCCTATGGGGTCTAAAAACCTGAATGTAGAAGAACTTTCATTCTTAAGAATTGAAATTGATTGCCTATCACATGAATGATTGACTTGCATATGCATGTAGTAGTGGAAATAAGTTCAGAAAAAAATGTATCATCCCTCATTGAATTATTTTTTTAATTCATTAGGCAGAAAAAGGAATAACAGTAAAGAACACAAAAGGGCAGAATATGTAAGTAGAACTTAACTTCAATAATCATTCTTATTTGCAGATAGCACATATTTTTTTGGTGTGTGTAATGTGAGTTGATCTGACTTGTGATTTCACTCCTTACCACTCTACAACACCTACTTATATACTCTGATCACAATCTATATAAAGCAACAGCAGAATTAGTGACAAATGTAAACTGCATCCACAGATAATAGTTATATTAGTAATCCCATTTCCTTTATTTTAGACTGTTTAAACATAAGTGAAAACATCTACACAAGTTAACCAACACCTTCTTACCGTACAGGCTGGCAGAGTAATCGGGATGGATACCGATGTATGCTACTGTTGTCTTAAAACCTTGGGAAAATAAAACTATAAAAAGACAACAACATCCTGGATTACTGCATGGAAATGCTTTATTCTGGTCTACATGTTTAGCCACTTATGGTGGTGTCTTCAGGACAATTTAATGATAGGTAACTGTAAGTGATGAAATATACAAAATGCGGTTCATATGAGGTTACGTTACGTCACAATTATTGGTAATACAACGTTAAAATTAAACTATTTCTGACGCAATTGGAAGTAGTACCTCATTCAGAGTGGAGCCAGTTGAAATGGTACAGGGGATTGTCCATATCTAGTTTCATTTTATTTATCTTAGAAAATTTCAAAATTCTGACTTAATTCAAAGTTTTACAATCATCTGATATAACTTTAACCAACAGATTCTTTATGGAAGTCTAGGCATTACTTTGACATCAGTACCGTTTGTAGTTATGAAGTCTTTCAACAGTATTTTTGTTGAATAGTATAAACCATTTTAAAACCCCTCCATTTAAAACTGTATATTAATAACAGGTTAAGTCAAAATTAGGCAGTTTGATTCCTGGGTTTTTCATGGTACAATTTACACTAAGTGAAGAGTCATTAAAGTGAATATGTTGAATTTTTTTTTAAGAAACATAAGCAATTTTATTTTAATTCTTGACCAAGGACAATTTTTATATGTCTGAATATCAGGTAACCAAAAATATAATGGAATATTTATTTCAAATTTTTTTATTTTATACTTTTTAGATTTCAGGTTTGGAGACTGTGCTGGAATCAGCTCCTGCTTTAAATAAGGATCTAATAATTAGAGATGTGATGGAGGATCAATTAGAAGTTGACACTGTTGATGACACAATTAAACAGCAATATAAAGAGGCACTAAAAGACAGAGTAAGATTATGTTTGAAACATGTAGTTACCTGGAAACTGAAATTAGTATAAGAAGGGTGCTCTAATTCATCTATTTAAATCTTTTCATTTGAAGGTAAAGTATTCACAAATCGAAAGAGCTTTAAGTCCATAGATGACTTATGAATTTGTGCTCTTTCCCATATATTTTTAATGTCACAATAATCACTTTACAACGTTGCAGAATACCTATTTTTCGAATATGTCTTTTACAGCAATTGACCTTTGGTCAACTGGTGTAACTCATTCATTAAAAAAAACTTAAGATTGGCTTATAGGACTAGATCAATTAAATTAAGAAAAAAAATATCAAATAAAATCAAGTGAAATAGCAGAGCTGTTGAAATATGTTTTGTCTGACAAACATTGACATAATTGCCAGACCTACACTTTTGAGGTAATTTGACTAATTCAGAATAATTATAAGCCAATAACTTTCAAAGCAATTTGGGTTGACATTATTTTGTTGATTTACATTTTTGGGGAAATTTGAAATGCATTGTAGTGGGAAAATATTGAAAATTTAAGTCTTGTTTCAAAAGAGGACATTATTGGCAATTATACCACATCACTTTTTTTTTTATACCCCACTTAGGGGCATTATGTTTTTCGGTCTTTGCGTCTGTGCGTCCCTTCTTCATTTGTTCGTTCATCCTTTCGTCTGTTTGTTTGCTGTTCATGCATCCGTCTGTGCCGCTTCAAGTTAAAGTTTTTGGTATTCATAATCTTAATTTCACGGTCCACTGAACATAGAAAATGATAGTGCTCACTTCAGGTTAAAGTTTTTGGTCAAGGTAGTTTGATGAAGTTGAAGTCTAATCATCTTGAAACTTAGTACATATGTTCCCTATGATATGATCTTTCTAATTTTAATGCCAAATTAGAGTATTGACCCTTATTTCATGGTCCACTGAATATAGAAATTGATAGTGGGAGTGGGGCATCAGTGTACAATGGACTATTCTTGTTATAACTATGAAAAGCTTGAAGACATTCAAATTTGTTTTTACTTTTGAATTATTAACAGCTACAACAACTACCAGATTTATCACAGCATGTTTCATGTACCGAGACAATTGTACAAGATGATATTCCATTACTACCACCACCACCTCCACCACCAAAATTGAGAGTTCAATCACTCCCACCTAACTGGGAATTTGCAAAAGACTTGGAAGGCAATGTGTACTATTATCATGCTAAAACCAGGTAATTGTTAAAAGGTCTCATCATGTAAGATGTGACTAAAAGCATTAATTTTATATAAAATTGATTCTTTTGCATGGTTCCAACTTTCATGGATATAATGGTTATTATTTTGATTTTTTTTTGCACACCAAACAGCATGCATATTTTTGCCATTAATTTGAAATTAACAATTTAAAAAAATAAAATTTTAAAATCCATGAACAAATGATTTTTCTATTAACCATACATATTTATTAACATATAGTACTGTAAATTCAGAAATTATTGCATGCATTAATTATTGTGATTTTTATAAAATGGACAGAAATGCAAGATTAATTATTGTTTTTTTTTCTGGATAATCTAATACAGATATATATATATATATCAGTTATCAGAATGCCAGTTCTTATTTTTAGCTCACCTGGCCCAAAAGGGCCAAGTGAGCTTTTCTCATCACTTGGGGTCTGTCGTCCCTCGTCGTCGTCCGTTAACTTTTACAAAAATCTCATCTGAAACTATTTGGCCAAATATAACCAAAATTGGTCAAAATAATCCTTAGGGTATCTAGTTTAAAAAAATGCATCTGATAACCCCGCCCATCAACCAAGATGGCCACCATGGCTAAAAATAGAACATGGGGGTAAATTGCAGTTTTTGGCTTTTATCTCTGAAACTAAAGCATTAAGAGCAATTCTGACAGGGGTAAAATTGTTCATCAGGTTAAGATCTATCTGCCCTGAAATTTACACACGCATCAGACAACCTGTTGATAGGTTGCTGCCCCTGAATTGGTACTTTTTAGGAAATTTTGCAGTTTTTGGTTATTATCTTGAATGTTATAATAGATAGAGATAAACTATAAACAGCAAAATTGTTCAGTAAAGTAAGATCTACCAATAAGTCAAAATGACCAAATTGGTCAAGTTTTCCCTTAAGGAGTATATAGTACTTCATAGTAAATTTTTAACAATTTTTTGTAAATTTTTGTAATCTTTTACAAAAGTTCTCCTCTGAAACTACTGAGACAAATTAAACCAAACTTGACCACAATCATCATTATGGTTTCTAGTTAAAAAAAATGTGTCAGATGACTCCGCTAACCAACCAACATGGCTGACATGGCTAAAAATAGAACATAGGGGTAGAATGCAAGTTTTGTCTATTATTTTTTGAACCATTAGAAATAGAGAAAATCTGAATGGAGCAAATATGTTCAGAATAATGAGCTCTACCAATTGTCCATATATGTCAAAACTGTTAGACAAATTCTTATAGGAGTTATTGGCCATAATTGACAAATTTTACCATTTTGTTTTTTCATTTTTGCCTATTATCATGAAAACTATGATATTTACTAGTCTTGTGTAATATTATTTGTCTGTTTGTCTTTTTCTTTTTTAGCCATGGCGTTGTCAGTTTATTTTTGATCAATGAGTTTGACTGTCCCTCTGGTATCTTTCGTCCCTTGTTTTGAGAGAAACATTTTTTTTTTGCTGTTATGTCTGATAAGATTTAAATTATAATAGATAAATAAACACTTTAAATCACAAAAATGATCAGCAAGGCAAGATCTATTAATAAGCCAAAGAAACTAAACATACTGAAAGATCAGTAATACAAGATCAACAAAATAGAGATTTTTGTCATGAAGTCTATTCTTGTCTACAATGTTGGAGAGTGTCCTTTGTCTGATATGCCCATAGACCAAGGTGAGCGACATAGGCTCTTTAGAGCCTCTAGTTAATATTATATAATAAAAACCTCTCAATAATTTCTGAATTTACAGTATATGAAACTTATTTGAAGAAACAGATTAATGAGTATATAATTCATGATTATATTTTTTTTATAATAACAAAAACTTATGTATCTGGTTCAAAATTAGTTGGCATGCAAAGTTGTTGAAAATACATTAAAAGCAAAACAAATGTAATCTATTTCAGACAAACTCAGTGGTCTCTACCAGTTTGGGATGATTGTAACAGTCAAAATGATGTAGATATTAGGACTTCCCTGGTAAGCACATTTGCAGTTTAAACAGGATAACTATGTTTATCTTAATATGGAAATAAAAAGGTATACGAGATATGTCGATGATAAAGATAAAAAATATGGGAATGGCAAATGAAGCAGATCAGCAATGTTTGTTTTAATTATATGTTTAAGGATGAAGATAAGACAGCAACAAGAAACGAGAATACAAAAAGTGTGACAGGAAATCTCTTAAGTATGGGAACAGAATCTGAAGTAATACCGCCTTATGTAACAGATGATTTAGAATCTACTATGTATGCAGCAACCCGAGTGCCAAGTATGAATGAGGATGACCTATTGGCAAAAGTCTGTAAGTTGTGTTTTAGGTAGACTTAGTAGAGTAAAATTGTAGGTTACGAATAATTTATATGTGACATGTGAATTTGTGTGTAGAAAAACTCTGGCATGTATTTTTTTTATGCAATTGAAAATTTTAAGACATGATTTATATTCATCTAAAAAGTAAGAAGATACCAATGGGATAATCGACCACTAGAGTGCATCATTTACAAATCGAGGAACAAAGACAATAACAAAACAAAACATCAGATTCAGTCCACAACACTTTACACAGAAACTAAAAATTGATCACTCTAACATTTATCTCAATAAGAAAAAAACCTATGTCATTCAACTGTAAGTGTTCAACTTTATCCTTCAACAGATGTAAAATAAAATAAGCAGGTGTCTTCTACTCTGTCCACTATTTTTGGGGAAAGTAAAATCTAAATTTAGAACCATTAATGAACTGAAACTACACATGTATGATAAGAATAGAACACGTTATTTATGCTATATTAAATTCTAATGTCAAAAAGATAGCGAAATTTGTGCTTTTGGTTATCTTTCTAAAGTAGCAAATACAATTTTGAAGTAATGTTTTTCTTCTCAAGTCTCAATTAAAGAAAACCACTGAATAGAGTATAGAGGGACAAAAAAATAATGTGACACTTGTAACTGCAATTTGATATTTGGTGGAATGAGAGGTGAAATGAGTTAAGACTCTTACCGGCTGGATACATTTTGATAGCATTTTAAAAGACTGATTTGTTTTATTTTGTATCCAATTTTCATAATATCTGCAGAAATACTATCAAATTCTATGTTTAACAAACTTGATTATACATGAAGATCTCACACAGTCAGCTCTATTCTATCACCTTGTTCAAATTTTCAGGAGCCGTGGTTTTTTGCATCAATGGATTTGTCTTTGAATTTTGGAATTGTTTATCTTTTTTTTTTTTAAATCTGTGAACCAACATAATAGAAAATTATAATGTAAAAATATCTGGCGATTTTTAAGATTTTTCTTATGTATCCTATGCATTTTTGGCATCTCATGATGTTAATAAGGGCCCCGCTAAATGTTGGATGCCCTATAGTGATCAGTCTGTCCGTCCGTTCGTCTGTCCGTCCGTCCGTAACAAATTGTGTCCGCTCTATATCTAGAGAAACGTTATGATTTCAACGTTTATACTTGATAAACTTGACATGTATATTAACCAACACCAGAGGGTGTGTCATAATTTATGTACAACTTCCTAGGTCAAAGGTCAAGGTCAAAAACTTTGGTTTCAGTAGACAACCCCATGTCCTATGGTAAAGATCGTGTCCGCTTAATATCTTGAGAACCGTTATGATTTCAAAGTTTATACTTGACATGTATATAAACCAACACCAGAGGGTGTGTCATAATTTATGTACAACTTCCTAGGTCAAAGGTCAAGGTCAAAAACTTTGGTTTCAGTTGACAACCCCATGTCCACACGTTATTCACAGTTTATACTTGACATGTATATAAACCAACACCAGAGGGTGTGTCATAATTTATGTACAACTTCCTAGGTCAAAGGTCAAAGGTCAAGGTTAGAAACTTTGGTTTTAGTTGAAAACCCCATGTCCACACATTATTCACAGCGGGGCCCACAGAGATGGCTCCCATCTCAATGCAGGGCTTGACAATAACGCTTGTCCGATTGTCCGGTACTAGAGGAAAAAAAGGTCGGACAAGTAAAAGCCATATCAAGCTTGTTCGACGGGACAAGTAAAATCCAACTTTGATGATCAAAGTAGTAAACAAAAAACCAGAACAGAAGATAAAAACAAGTATCAATTTGATATGTTTACTTGCAATCGATAATTTAAAACTGGTTCTTTGTCAGATACTTTATAATAGATTCTGGGAAACAAGTCTTACCAATCATCCAGTGGCTTTGTTATAAGGTGACCAGACAGTTCGGCACTGGTTCGGTTGAAGACATTTCGAGACCAATACAAACCAGTACCTTGTTTCCCTATGTTTTTCTGTTGCTTTATACTAAATATATGATTAGTTTTATTTAACAAAAATAATTTAAAAATGAAATGAAGAAATTATTGACCATGACATTCAGAAAATCATATTTGATCATATTTAGACAAACAATATTTGATTGTGTTTGAATAAACATTTTTTATATATTAAAAACAAAGCTGATTGTAGTAAGGCATTAATCATAATAATCAATATTCTATCAACATAAAAGACCAGGATACAAAACAAGTGAGTGTAGACGGACAGGCATACCAGATCTAGACTGTGCCTGATGTGCAGAGTCTGATACACTTTGGCATTGATGATAACTAGAACCTAAGTCCTTTGACTAGACATGACAAGATTCAGTTGTTCTTGACTCATATTTTTGAAAAGGATATCAAGAGATATAATCAAATTCTGATCTATTGTTTTAATTCATTTTGTTTCATTGAATCAACCTTAAATGCAAAACAGGTTAATATAAAGGTTTTTTTTTGGACAAGTTGAAATTCCATTCAGACAAGTAAGTTTTGGTATGTACTTGTCCTATTGGACAAGTTGAAAAAAAAGTTATTGTAGAGGCCTGCAATGATATCTAGTTTCCACAGCTTGTATCTCAAAAACAAAAACGGTTACCCCATTTTTATTTTATTTTCTGCTGTACTTTTACAAGCAGAATCCAAATGTGAAATTTAAAAAAAATCTGTGGTGTGGTTAAGTATGTACACTTTGCCTTCATTGAAACTTTGCCTTTTTATGCCCCACTTAAGGGCATAATGTGTTTTCGTCTGTGCGTCCCTTCGCTCATCCTTTCATCCATTCGTTCGTTTGTCTGTTCTTCCGTCTGTCCCACTTCAGGTTAAAGATTTTTAAAGGTCCAGTGAACATAGAAAATGATAGTGCTAGTGGGGCATCAGTGTACTATGGACACATTATTGTTTGAAATTTTTATAGAAACAACGTATTTGTTGTCTTGATAACAGATAATTTATGTATTTTGTATGCATGGAATTTGTTGATATGCCATAATGTGTGTCTATATTGTTGTATGGTTGACTCGAATGGCTCATTAAAGCTTGAGTTATATAAAAGGATATGTTAGATATATATATATATATGTCAATGAGATAGCAAACCAGTAACAAAAGTAACCAAAAGACATCCAATATGAATCTTGAACTCTTACAGTTTATATTTTATTAACATGCAGTGTTATATGAGGTATTATTTTTGTTTAAAGGTATTTCAGAATTATGGAAGTGGGACAAAGTTGACATGAATGTCACAGTTGGTAAAATTGAGAACATCAATGTAACATTGGAAAGCTTATTTTTTATGAGAGGTTTTTTGCCAGATGAGGTATGATGTAAAAGATAGATATAAGAAGATGTGGTATGAGTGCCAATGAGACAACTCTCCATCCAAGTCAAAATTTATAAAAGTAAACCATTATAGGTCACAGTACGGTCTTCAACACGGAGCCTTGGCTCACACGGAACAGTAAGCTAAAAAGGACCCCAAAAATTACTAGTGTAAAACCATTCAAACGGGAAAACCAACGGTCTAATCTATATAAAAAACGAGAAACGAGAAACACTTATGAACCACATCAACAAACGACAACTACTGAACATCAGATTCCTGACTTAGGACAGGTGCAAACAAATGCAGCGGGTTTAAACGTTTTAATGGTACCAAACCTTCACCCTTTTTCTGAAACAATAGTGTAACATCACAACATAGAAAGACACACTATAAAATATCAACTGAAATAGCTTAACTCAATCAAAGGACATATTAACACCATTGAACATACACTGAACAAATGAATTTGACCTATGATACAATGTAAATACAAATAGATAAACTAAGGGAAGAATAATAAAAGTAACATGTTATATTGGTATGAAAAGTTAAACAATTAAAGAAAAACAATATGCTTGAACAAAAATATCAGCCATTTGCAATAACTTTAAACACAGGTAAATGAAAATAATTTTGTTGTTAGGTATACGTGTACAGTTCCAATAGAGAATGGAAATATTTTTACAAAATAAATAATTTTGATGTTCATAGTACGAAATGAAAATTTATAGTAATACCAAACACTTACAAAAGCTGGTACATAGACCAGATATAACCCTGAATAACATTAAATAACAAAAAAGCAATACAATTAGTAACAACAGGTCAAATAAACAAGAAAGTACGATTTGAGAGTACTCGCAGTTACTGACAGCTAGTTAAAAGCCAAAACAATTAATAAAAAATCATGCATCAGAGACTAAAATCAACTAAAACACATCCCAGGGATTTAGTATTTTAACGTCATGGACAGTCAAAGAAGACATGACTAGTGCAATGCCAAAAATAAATGTATCAACAGACAGTAGGATAGTTAGGAGTTTAACCTCTTTATAGATCAAAACGAACGTGGGTGTGTCTTTATACATCCCGTTGGAAAAGAATACAAATTTAGTTATGTTTTAATTTGCTGATGACAAAATCGATATTAGTGCCAATGTAAACTATATTCAAAGATCTAATTACAACATTGGTAAGATAACCTTTACTAATAAGTTTGTTTAAAGGTTCGATGAGTTTACATGGATCACATAGTGATTTCCTCGCTTTAAGTACAATATTACCGTAAAATTTAGGAAGTGAAATACCGTTTTTAATCATTTTTCTACAAGTACAGCCAAATTTACTAATCAAATCTTTGTATCTATGAAAGAACTTAGCAAAAGTTTTACGTAATTTATGGTAACGAAATCCCTGATTTAATAATTTACCAGTGATGCATTGATTACATTAAAAATCTATGACATCAGTACACACACGGGCATAACGAATGAGTTGGGATATATAAACACCGTATGATGGAGCCAAAGGAACATCGCCGTCTAAAAAAGGAAAATTAACAATAGGGAATGAAAAATCGTCTCTTTTGTCGTAAATTTTCGTATGGAGTTTTCCTTTAGAGAATGAAATGTCCAAATCCAGAAAAGGACAACTACTGCTGTTTATGTTAGATTTAGTTAAAGTAAGTTCAATTGGGTAAATTTCGGTAGTATATTTAGAGAACTCTGGATTATTTAACGAAAAAATATCATCTAGATAACGGAAGGTATTGTTGAATGTATCAACCAAATGTAACAATGACGTGTCTTTACTGAGTTTGGTCATAAACTGAGATTCATAGCAATACAGGAATAAATCTGCTATTAAAGGGGCGCAGTTAGTGCCCATAGGAATACCTACTACTTGTCGATACACTTTATCGCCAAAACGTACATATATGTTGTCCAGGAGAAAATTTAAAGCTTCAATCATATCTTCACATTTCCAGTAAGTGTATCTAGCATACTTTCCTTTTTCGTTACAGAAAAAGGCTTTAAACGAGTTACAGTAAATAAATTTGTAATGAGATTTTTCAAAAGACCATTTGATTAAATATGAAAACTTTTTCTTGATAAGATTGTGTGGAAGTGTAGTATAGAGAGTAGAAAAATCATAACTGTCAACAGAATTAAAAGGACCATCAAAAGCATGTACTTTATCTAAAACCTCTAAAGAATTTTTAACACTCCAAAAATAATTAATACCATTATTTTCATAAGCTTTATTACAAAAGTTAATAACAAGTTCTTTGATAGTAGTAAAGGAGGTAGTTAGAAGCACTGATAGATTGGTAGTAGAACACTTACTAGATGCGGAGATGAAACAGAATTTAAATGGTTTTTTGTGCAATTTAGGTAACCAGTACATAGTAGGGACTTTCAAATGTTCGGAAGAGGCTTAAAGCTGGTTAGTGGCAGTGATATGCTGGTTTACAATTTGACTCTCTGTGGAGCGTATGGACCTGAATGTAGATGAATTTGTAATTTCTTTTTGGAGAACTTCCGTGTAGTATATGCGTCACACGGACCCTATTACTAATTTCAGAATTGTTTTCAAAATGAGATATACGAATATTAACAGTATTCATAATTTTATTCAAATAACTGTCTAGAGATTTTTTATCAGATTTTTCACGTTTACACCAATTTTTACAGTAGACAGACAGAGCGTCTTTAATGATCTGACGATTTTTTTATGAGAGGTTTTTTGCCAGATGAGGTATGATGTAAACGACCATGTTTTATTCATTAAGCTAAATATGTCATCATTAAGACGCATGCTATGAAGCTGATTAAGGGATTTACATGCAATTTCAAAGCCATGCAATTTTTAGCTCACCGTTCCGAAGGAACGGTGAGCTTTTGCCATCACTTGGCGTCCGTCGTCGTCTGTTGTCGTCTGTCGTCGTCGTCCGTCTGGTGTAAATTATTTCAAACATCTTCTCCTCTGAAACTACTGAACCAATTCCAACCGGACTTAAGCTGAATGATGCTTAGGGTATCTAGAATAATTTTGTGTTTTATTTACTGTTTCGTCAAATAACATGGCCGCCATGGCTAAAAATAGAACATAGGGCCGGGGTAAAATGCATTCATTAGGTGAAGTTCTATCAGCCCTGAAATTTTCAGTTGAATCTAACAACCCATTGTTGGATTGCTGCCACTTAATTGGTAATTTTAAGGAAATTTTGCAGATTTTGGTTATTATCTTGAATATTATTAATGATAAAGATAAACTGTAAACAGCAAAAATATTCAGCAAAGTAAGATCTCCAAGTAAGTTCGTATGACCAAAATTGTCAATTGTCCCCTTAAGGAGTTATTGCCCTTTAAAATCAATTTTTCACAATTTGTTCATTTAGTTTGCTTACTTTAAAAAATCTTCTCCTTTGAAACTGCTGAATCAATTTCAGCCAAACTTGGGCTGAATGAGTTTCAAAGTATCTAGTATAAATTTTGTATTTTATTTTCTTGTACGTCAAGAAACATAGCTACTATGGCTAATATGAAACATAGGGGTAAAATGCATTTCTTTGATTTTGAAGAAAATATGACAGATACAAAAAACTTTTCAATGGAAGTTTTAAGTATCTCTTTAATAAATGAACATGGTTAGCACATGCATCACCCAGTGGTGAAATTAAAGGTTTCATTACAGGTTTCATGCTATAATTTATTTGCCTTGTGTTTGAGCTAATTTTGACATGATTGAACTTAATTGACAGCTAATTTTATTTCAATATATCACTTTTGTAATGTTTGAAAAAAAAATCATATTTCATTTTTTATACGACCGCAAAAAAAGTTGCATTTGTATAATGCTATCATGGCTTCGTCGTCAGTTGTGTTGTCTGTGTCCTTGTTGTCGTCGTCCGAAGACATATTTGGTTTCCGGACAATAACTTAAGTTTAAGTGAATGGATCTCTATGAAATTTTACGAGAAGGTTCAATACCACAAAAATAAGGTTGGAATTGATTTTGGGGGTTATGGTACCAACAGTTTAGGAATTAGGGACCAAAAAGGGACCAAAAAGAAACATTTTTGTAGTTTCCGCACAATAACTTGTGTATAGATCTCTCTGAAATTGTACCACAAGGTTCCATATCACAAAGGGAAGGCTGGGATTGAGTTTTGGTGTAATTGCCTAATCTTTCAGGAATTAGGGGCAAAGAAGGGGCCAAAAACAAGCATTTTTCTTGTTTCCAGACAATAACTTGTGTTTATATGCATGGATCTCTCTGAAATTGTACTACAAGGTTCCATATCACAAAGGGAAGGCTTGGATTGAGTTTGGGGTAATTGGCGGGGGGGTTAAAAGATTTGATTTTTTTTTCAATTCTGTATTTTACTTATAAATGGACTTTCTTTCTACACCACTGTTTCATGGAAACACCCACAAACCTGTAATATAAGGCTGTTGGTTTTTTTTCTTTGAATTGTTTCTCATTTTTTCATGTCAAGCTTTTCATAGCCGACTATACAATAAGGGTTTTGTCAATTTTTGAAGGTTGAACAGTGGCCTATAGTTGCTTAAATCCATATTATTTGGACTCCTGATTTTATATAATACTGTATGAAGGCCCTATGAAAAATGGGGAAACTTCTATTACGACAAATTTAGAATTCTCCATACACTTTCACTGTACAAAAACACTCATCTAGAGAAGGAATTTTATAATGCCTTTCCTGTTCCAATTTAAATTTAAATGGAACAGCTCTGATCTAAAGAAACAGATGGGAACATAGTAGGAACATAATAACATTTAAGGCTGTTGAAAATAAGTACATACAGCTGTTACTTTTTCTTTCCTTTATTAGTCCTCACCATTGACTTATTTTATATTTTAGTTTGATCCTATTGGAATTGTGAAGGAATATTTTCCTTTGTGAAAAATCCTAACTACTTAAACTAGAAACAAAGTGTGTTGGTATTAATACAGATTTTTTTTTGTAGGTGATTGATGCTTATTTACATCAGCTGACTGTAGGATTAACTGGAACAATTTTTATCAACAGTACTATTATGACAGCCATTGCAAACAGGCAGACGGAAACACATGGCTGTTTACAGGAGGTATAGAAAAAAGTTCAAGGTTGTGAGATAGAAACATTTCAAAGATACAAATTTGTGAAATTTTTTTAAGAAAATTAAAGCTAATCAAAATCCTTCTCACATGGAGATCTTCATATAAAAACAATTGTTTTGTATAATACAATGAGACTAGTGTGTAATCTTTAAGAGGATATTAACCTTCAAACCTTGTAGCCTGTATTTGACATTTTACAAAAAAAGTTCAACAATAGATAATGGGTAAAACATTTGGAAGAAAATCAGAATCTTTTCCACAGGCATATTTTATGTAGAAAAAAAAACCTTTGAATAAAATCATATGAGACAATGATCAACAAGTTGCTATGAAAAGCAATATTGCCTGATTGGGTACCTGCAGTTTTGATGAAAAACTGTGCTCAATATCAAGGTAAAACAACTAATTTGTTATAAATTATTGTTTTTAACAATTATATATATATATTTATTGCACCACAGGTAAATTATCACGTTGTGATTGGTTTGATGCCATCACGTGGTGACCCCTTATGGATCCGTAGGGGGTTAGTAAATTTCATTGGGGGTTCATGACGTCACGTCTACTGTTAATGGTGACGTCATCTATTTATGTTGTTGTGTTTCATTGTTTATTTTTCTACAAAATGTAGCAGAAAAAGTACCTTTTGCAATAAATTCTTTATACGGTTCACTATTGACCCCCTATGGACCATTAGAGGGTGAATAAAATCCATAGGAGATTCGGCTTGTGGCCTCACCCCTATGGATTTTACTAACCCTCTATGGATCCGTAGGGGGTCAGTAGCTAACCATATAACTTATAATATATATTACATATGGTGTAGCATTCTACTGTTTTTATTGGATATGACTATCACATGTTTCAAATAGATATAAGATGTGGTATGAGTGCCAATGAGACAACTCTCCATCCAAGTCACAATTTGTAAAAGAAAAACCATTATAGGTCAAAGTGCGGTCTTCAACACGGAGCCTTGACTCATACCGAACAGCAAGCTATAAAGGGCCCCAAAAATGACTAGTGTAAAACCATTCAAACGGGAAAACCAACGGTCTAATCTTTATAAAAAACGAGAAATGAGAAACACTTATGATTCACATCAACAAACAACAACTACTGAACATCAGATTATATTGACACTCGGACTTCGTCCTTGGTCCATATAATCTGAACAGGTCCAGGTGTAATGTATTGACCTCGTCAAAAGTCAATAATTAATAAATAATTATACGCAATTTATTGCGTCAGGTATAATGTTTTTGACCCGTCCATCTGTCTGTCTGTCCATCCGTCCGTCAGTCCTGTTCATGTCATCACAACTTCTCTGAAACCACACAGCAGAATTTCATGAAACTTTGTAGATAATAAGGACATACGATGTAGATGTGCATATCGACAGGAAATTATGATTCATTTTTTTTCTAAGAGTTATGCCCTTTGAACTTATTGGCCTCAATATACTACTGCAACAGTTTGTCATCGCAACTCCTCTGAAACCACACAACAGAATTTCATGAAACTTTGTAGATAATAAGGACATACTATGTAGATGTGCATATCGACAGGAAATTATGATTCAATTTATTTTCTAGGAGCTATGCCCCTTTGAACTTAGAATTTTGGCCTAAATATACTACTGCAACAGTTTGTAATCGCAACTCCTCTGAAACCACACAACAGAATTTTTCATGAAACTTTGTAGTTAATGAGGACATAATATGTTAATGTGCATATCCGCAAGAAAATTTTTATCAGTTGACTTTTGTAGAGTTATGAGTCTTTGAACTTAAGAACCTGGTGAGATTTTGTTTGTCCAGTGACAATGTGGGGGCGTGGGGTATGTGAGGGTGCTCACAAAGGTTCTTTAATTAAGAAAAAAAAATGATCAGCTATATAGTTTTAACTTTTGCAATTAAGACATTATACTTCAATGCAAAATCTATTCAAAAGACTTTATTTATAGGTCAACTTCCAGGAATATGACTGTGTTATTGGTGCAGTGAATGAGGGAGAAAACCACTGGATTCTTTTGGTATGTAATAAATAAATTGCATTAGTAAGTTTTTAAAATGTCCTAGATGGCTATATGTATATTGTCCCCTGCACAACACATTGATAAGGAACATAGAAATACCAGGCGTCCGTCTGTCTGTCTGTTTGTCCAGTTTTGTAAGCATGCTAACCTGTACAATTCTTGCCAATTTTTATGCCCCCGTAGCGGAGGGGCATTAGGTTTTATCCTTGTCTGTCTGTACATTCGTCTGTACGTCCCAAAATTGGTTTCCATTCTCTAACTTTAGTTTGCTTCAACCAAGTGTTATGAAATTTATACACAATGCTTATTACCACAAAACACAGATCAAGTTTTAATTTGGGTAGCGTCACTTTTGCCATTCTAGAGTTATGCTCCTTTACAAATGGAAAAATTGCTGAATTTTTTGTTTCCGTTCTCTAACTTTAGTTTGCCTCAAACAAATAATATGAAACCTATATGCAATGCTTATTACCACAAAACATAGATCAAGTTTGAATTTTGGTGGCCTCACTTTTACTGTTCTAGAGTTATTCCCCTTTACAAATGGAAAAATAGCCGAATTTTTTGTTTTTGTTCTTTAACTTAAGTTTTCCTCAAGCAAATGTTATGAAACTTAAACACAATGCTTATTACCACAAAACACAGATTAAGTACAAATTTAGGTAGTGTCACGTTTACCATTCTTGATTTATGTCCCTTTATAATCTTATATTTTCATAGGGGTAAATAGTGACCTTACACTGGTCATTATGTTATGCCATGAAGCACATTTCATTGAAAATTGGTATTGATGATGTTGTTTCTGCCAAATAAGTAAATAACTTTATATAGTTTTATAATCTTATAAAATAGGAAATTGTGAAGGTGTGTAGATGTGTTTGACACATTGAAAACCATTGTTTAAAGTTACCAAGTTAGGAGCTTGTAATTCAGTGGTTGTCATTTATTGTTGTTTATCATATTTGTTTCTCATTCATTATTTTGTAATAAGTTTTCTCATTTGCATTGTTTTACATTTGTCATTTTGGGGGTCTCTTATAGCTGACTATGTGGTATGGGTTTTACTAGTACTCACTATTAAAGGCTATTAAGTGATCTATAGTTGTTAATTTCTGTGTCATTATGTCTCTTGTGGAGAGTTATCTCATTGGCAATCCTATCACATCTTCTTATTTTTATGCTCTTTATGAATTTGCTGTGTTCAAAGGCGCTTTCTCTGATTATCTTAAATTGAAGAAATGTATGTTATATAGGACATTGTAGGAGAATATGCAGTTCAATCATGTACTACGGGTAGCATTTTATTTTGTGTCTTCATGATTTATACAAATCTCGCTTCATCTTTTAAAAAAATTTACTTTGAGCCATTTTGTCATAATTATTTCTTATCTTGAAGATTATTTTACCTCAAGAAAAGATGATTTGTTATTACAATCCTATGGGTGAAACATTCCTGTCACTTCATACATTAATGGAGAACTGGTAGTAAGTAAAACTATTGTCTTAAAATATTATTTTTTTTAATTCTATCTTATATTTCACAATTGCTCTTGGAGTGATACAGTGTCAATTGGGCAATAGGGGCAGTCGATCATATATGTTTCATAAAAACACATTTTAAGAATGAACCAAGTATCTCCTTGAAGCATTGTGCAACCCAGAAATAAAAAAAGATAAATTGAAGAAGCTTTATTATAGCTATTTTCATAATTTCCCCAAATATAAAGTTGTTTCAGGACTGGGCAAATACTTTTTCGATCCAGCATATCTAAAAGTTAATTTGCAAACACCTTTTACCTATGTATTATTATGGAAAATAAGAAACGATAACTTTTTAAAATTTACACTAATAATTGGGCCAAATAAGGACCTTTTTTCCCATAACTTCTATGCTGTCACTTTGACAACTCATTTCAGGTACTGTGGATTCATTTATTTTCGTGGGTACCAATTTTCGTGGATTGAACAAAACTAACACTTTCGTGGACATTTAATTTCGTGGTTCTGCCAAAGTCTGCATACAAGCCTATGGAAAATTTGTAATTCGTTGAACATTTAAATTTGTGGTTCACCTGTACCCACAAAATCCACAAAAATTGGTTTCCAACGAAAAATAATGAACCCACAGTATGGTTTAGAGATAACAAGAGATGATTGCATTTGTTTTTTAATTATATACCACGTTATCATAGGTCAACAGTTTGGTGTTATTTACAAAATCTGGAGTATTATAGACAAGGCATTAATGGTAAATAAAAAATTAAAAAAAATTAAAACAGTGCAGAAGTACAATATTGATAACTAAATTGAAAAGTATGTTACTGAACATTTCAGCTTCTTCATGAAAGAAAGGTCAGACTTCATGCTAGATGGAAATGGAACCTGGCGGTTTAATGTGCTTGATCATTCCAAACAACTGGACAGCATTTCTTGTGGAGTATATGTCCTAAAGGTAGGATTAATTCATGAAGTTCTGTTTAAATGCCAGGTAATTTTATAATCATTATTTGCTTATGGCTTGTGGATTTTACCACTTATTTGATTAGATAGAAAACAGTAAGTAGTTGTAATTTTAGAAATTTTCACTTTTCATTGATTGAGGCTGATTCTTTTTGAAATGAAAAAAAAAGTTATGTGTGTTATGTATTGTATGTAGACAGATAACGTTTTGCATCATTTATTATAATAATTTTTTAGCTACAAGGAATAAAAGGCTCAAAAATCATACTTTTTAATATTTTTTTAAATATTTCACTCTGACAGACAGTTTTCAATATTCATTTAAAAAGCTAAAAAGGACCAAGTGAGCTTTCCTCATCACTTGGCAACTGTCTTCCGTGGTCATCGTCTATCATAGTCGTTGTTGTTGTTGTAGTCGTTAACTTTTTACATTTTGAACTTCTTCTGGAGAACCACTGAATGGAATATAACCAAACATGGCATGAATATTCCTAATGAGGTACTGATCAAGTGTTGTTACTTTGTAGGCGATCCATCACCCAAGATGGCCACCAGAGAGGGACTTAGTTTAACATAGGACCCTATGTGAAATACATACAAATTTTTTAGAGAACCACTGAATGGAATGAAAATAAAAATGGCAAGAATGTTACTTATGAGTTGCTGACCAAGTGCTGTAACTTTGTAGGCAATCCATCATTGAAGATGGCTACCAGCAGGGGACACCATTTAACATAGGACTCTATGGACAATACATACAAATGTCTTCTTTTAGAGAACCACTGAATGGTTTGAAACCAACTATCGCATGAATTTCATTATGATGAGCCGACCAAGTGTTGTTACTTTGAAGCCGATCCATCATCCAAGATGGCCTCCAGAGAGGGACTTAGTTTAACATAGGACCCTATGTGAAATACATACAAATTTTTTAGAGAACCACTGAATGGAATGAAATTAAACATGGCAAGAATGTTACTTATGAGTTGCTGACCAAGTGCTGTAACTTTGCAGGCAATCCATCATTGAAGATGGCTACCAGCAGGGGACATCGTTTAACATAGGACTCTATGGACAATACATACAAATGTCTTCTCTAAGAGAACCACTGAATGGAATGAAACCAAACACAGCATGGCCATTCCTTATGAGGTGCTGACCAAGTGTTGAAACTTTGAAGCCAATCCATCATCCAAGATGGCCGCCAGAGAAGACTTAAAGTTTAACATAGGACCCTATGGGAATTACATACATGTAATGTCTTCTTTTAGAGAACCTCTAAATGGAATGAAATAAAACATGGCAAGAATGTTCCTATTTTAACATGATTTCAAAAGACAAAGTAGAATCAGGTGAGCTACACAGGCTCTCAAGAGCCTCTAGTTTAGTATGAAAACGACTTTCATTTTCAGGTTGTTTAATAACTGTATATAAAAGACAACTTGCTATTTTAGTCATTTGTTTTCTAGATGGCTGAAATGTTTCTTTCTGGTGGTGATGTTCAGTTTGTTATGACAGCAGAAGATCTTAATCAGTATCGACTGCACATTGGGGCTGTCATATTAAGACAATGTGGTGAGAATTCTTGAATTATTATATATATAGATTAATATTTCTTATTATTATACTTCACGTCAAAATGCCAGATTTTGATTGGACTATATGAGGGAGATAATTAACTCTATCCCATGGCCCAGCGGGAGACAATTTTTTTAATGTCACACTCTTGTGCAGACCTATCAAATATAGATAACTTAAAGGACAATGAATTGAGTTTACATTAATGAATTAAAACCAATGCTCAAGGTCTTCGTTTTAACCTCAAAAGAACTTTTTCATAGACTGCTAAATTTTAAAACATTGTCTTGCTTCACTTCTGTTGTTTTTCTTATAAATGTTTCCTTGTTATTAATGTGAGTAATTTCAATTTAGAATTTAACAGTAAAAGACAATAATGACAGAATATTCAGTATATTGAATTTAATAACACATAGCTAAGAGGGTGATAGAGCAAATTGATACCGCTGGATAAAGCATTGTCAACCTTGGCTTCGCCTCAGTTGACAAATTATTGTTTTCTCAGGGTAACAATCTGCTCTCTCATTGCTCAGCTCAGTGTTATTTATATATTATAATTCAGTGTATTTCTTTTTGGTAAATATTTATGATACAGTATCATTGATAATAAGTGCAGGTTAAGTAAATCTTTTTTGTTATAAAAATAAAGTGTATCAGTAATTTGGACTTTAAAAATCATATTTAGCTTATCTTGCATTAGTGAAAAATAACTATTTAAAGTTAATTTTAAGTTTTTACAAGTTTAAATAAGTCTATATGTTTTTATTTTATAAAATTTAATGATGTATTTTTAAGGTTTATTAAATGTACACCAGTCTATTGTTTCAAAGAGATCAGTCAAGGTATGTTATGACTTAATTGGATAGATCTTTATTTTTTTATAAGGGTGTGCTCCTGAAACAAAAAACTGCTCAGACAGAATTATGAAGAATACTAAAATCAATACTACACAAGTGTTTTGCTAACCATTACCAATTGGTTGCCTGATATAATGATGTCCTGTCTTAACTCAATTGTGACATGTGCTCATGGTCTTAGATGGAACAACACAGAGGGAGGGTAGGACCTTTATCGGGACTCCGGGATCGGGTGTTTTTAAGCTCTGGATTTTGGGATTGATCCTTTCAGGATCCGGGAATTCTTTTTTCGAATTTCGGGATGTCAGGATTTAAATTTTTTTAAATTCGAGACCTCGGGATTCCATGTTTTTAATCCCGGGATTTCGGGATCAGGACCCCTCCTATCCCCCCTCAACACACCTTTAAAAGAAAAATTTCTTTTTAGGACAATATTAAAGTATAGGCCCAGATTTATACAGGGATGATTGTCAATGAGACAACTATTCATAGACCAAAGGACACAGATTTGAACCATAACAATTCACTGTACTGCTTCCAATAATGAGCAAACCTCATTAGTCGATTCTGCATCATTCTGTAACTCCTTGTAGACCAGAAATTATTTTAATAGATGTCAATGAGACAGCAATCCAACCATATCTTAAACAAACAAAAAAAGACCAAAAGAGAAGTTTAATATTTTTTTAGTTTATTTGTTGCAATGAATTACATTGATTTCCCAGTGAAATAAAAACTGATAATTTCTTATGTGAAATAAACGCAGTTATTTCACTCCTTTGACCTCATACAACAATAGGTGTTGTTAAGACGTTGTCGAAAGCAAATTGTGAATGCTAAGAAAAAGATACAGTTCCTAATATTTTCTACTTTAATCCCATTAAAAAGACCATTGTCAATGTCATAAAAAGAATAACTAATCAAAGAATTCAAATATGAAAAATATTCAACTGGTGACCGAACAACACTGATAATTTATTTATGTCCTACGAGCACTTGTGAATTAATGAACTAGTTGTTTGGTCACTCATTGAATATTTTTCTTTATTTGAGTTCTTCGATTAGTTATTCTATAATTCATTATCATTTTCTCTTTAGTCAACATGTGGAATCACCAACTTGCTGTCTCCTGGACAGAATACAGAGTTAGATAGTGGTACTAATGAATCACAGTATTCAGGAATTGTAAAGTTATCTGATGGCATTAGTGTCCAACAGTCTTCTAAGGTTTCACAGTCATCTATTGGAAACAATAAGGTGATATCATCTGAAACTATACAGACAGAACCTTGTACTGAAGAGACAGAAGTATCTTGTAGTGACGATGGAACAACTCTTGCAGGCAACAGGGTAACTTAAAGAATTTTACATTTATAGGATTATAATTTGGAGTGACAACAGCAATTTAATGACTTTTACAGCAAATTTGTGTCACTCTTAGATTACATAAGTGTTCTTTTATTTCAGCCACATTTCTTTTATGTCATTTTTGGTTTGCAAACTCATACCTATGTTATCTTGTACCTATAACAGCAAACATGTACAACATAGGTTTGAACCACCTTATTTTAGTGCACTAAAATGGTGGTAGAAGTTAAATATATAAGTTTAACTGAATAACTCAGAAATCTGTAAAAAATAGATAATTAGAAAGTCACAATGACAAATTTGTAGCTGATTGTTCCTCTGCTAATTGAATGAAAAAAACAAAATGTATATTTGTTTTGTTTTGGTATGTTTTTGTTTTGTGTTTATTTACATTTGACTAGCAGCCATGATGACGGCTCATATCAGCTTGAGTTTTGATAATGAGGAATTTTATTTAATAATAGATGTTTTATAATTAATTCCAAGCTGTTAAGTTATATAATGCCAATCATAATTTGTTGATTAGATTAAATAATTGATTACACACATAATCACACAATTAAAGGAATTTAATTATATATTAGAATTGTAGTAGAAAGTAATGTTAAAATAACAAGCCAATTCAATTTAAGTTTATGTTACTATTAATAAAGAAATTCAATAAATATATTATAAAGATTTGCAAAAATCAGTTCATAAAACATTTGGATATTGAATATTTGAACAGTATGAGTTGGCAGAGGTACCAGTTAGCATAGGTACGAGTTGCAATTGACCTTTAGTGTAACAAGTTGACATGGTACTAGTTTGCAATCATACAGGTTGACTTGCTTCCCTCACCTTTCTTGATCTCATTATGAAAACAAGGAGATGTGGTATGATTGCTAATGACACAACTATCCAACAGATATTATGTACAACATTTAACAATAGGCAAAATCCTTGCTGTAAATATTGTAAGTTTTTCAAGACCCTGGGGGTGACAAAATGTGAAATCATGATGAATTCAAACAAGAAAATCAAAGGCCTAGTTCAAGCTTAAAGAATGAAACAAAAAAACAAACAACTTTGAATGACAATTACCACCCACATCCACTGGATTACAGGCTTGGGACAGGCACATAAAAAATGTTAAAGATAATATGCTTATGAGCTCTGTATCATCTTCTCAAATTATGACAATGGTGTAACAGCAAAAGACAAAAACAAACATGTGTACTGGTATAAATGTTCCAGTCTTGTTAGACATAATTTTGTTGTTGTATTGGCTTAGATTTATTTAGCAGTAACTGCAAGTACTCTTAGATGAATATTTAGCTTTCTTAGTACCGTGAAAACAAACAAGAGCTTAACCTTGTTACTGTTGACACCTAAGACATTTCAATGTGTTTGTGGTTTGTTAAAAGAATTTTTGTTCAAACACAAATTTTCAGTTTTGGTTCAAATAAATCAGCATGAGTCTCAATGGTTGTCTTTTATGCCTTACATGAGTTTGTGTAGTGAAAGAAGGTTTGAGGATGATGTCTAAACAAATGTTTCATATCACCCCTATAAGGTTGACAATTCAATCACATGCAGTTAACTACTGTAAATTCAGAAATTATTGTGATGTTTTATTATTGCGAAAAAATGCAACAGGGTTATAATCGCAATGATTTAAACTCGCATTTTGAAATTTTTTATATGAATTAAACAGGATTTTTCTCAATATCGCAAAGATAAAATTGCAATTTAGGCTAAAATGACAAAATCGCAATAATATAACCTTATCCAAGCATCATTTATGATGTGAAGGATAAGGTGCATTATATGAAGAAGCCTAAGGGCTTCGAGGGTTAATAATTGAACCTTTACTTTATGTGAAGGTCGCACGCCTTTCTTCACAGCTCGCTGGTTTTTAAATTGACCAGTACTATATAAGTGGAGGTACACCTGTAAGCGTCCTCTTTTTGTAGATAGGCTCATAGCCTTGGAAATCATGTAACATTTATTGCCAATAAAAAAGGGAGGGCATCTTTATTTAAATTGCATAAAAAATATAACCTGTTGCCCTTCTGGTACATGATAAATAAAGGGAGGGAACTTATTAACCCTCGAAGCCCTTAGGCTTCTTCATATAATGCACCTTATCCTTCACATCATAAATGATGCTTGGATAAGGTTACATTATATTTCACAATCCCGGGCTTTGCTCGGGTTAATAATTGAACTCTTTATAGCCGCAATAAATGCAAAAAACCATAAATAAGAGATATATGACCAATTAATGAGCAGAAGTCCAAAGAAGAAACTAAAAAGTTGTCTCATTGATATATACCTTTACCATAAGCTGTTGCTGTCTCATTGATATATACCTTTAACATAAGCTATTGCTGTCTCATTGACATATATAACTCTAATACCTGTCATGAACAAACATCTCTATCATTTTCTTAAATAAATATACTAGTGTTTTTTAAATATTTTAATATCCCACAATTATACAACAAAATTGCATAAAATACTATGAAGTTCTAACTATCAAAATGTTCAGTTCTATCGCTATTCCACAAACACAGTATAATCATTAACGGATAAATGTTCAAGTTCCTCATCAACACATTACTAGAATATCCATCTGTTTAAAGTCTATTAGTTCCTCAAACCATCATATCCAACGGTATCTCAAACATCAACAATACTTCCAATAAAAATTCCATACATGTTTTGTAATCTACATGTAAATAAGCTGATAGAATATCTGACGACTGTATCTGGTTCCTCCAGTTCCTGTCAACCTGTACTGTCAGACTGCAAATTAGAATTAAATACTGAGTTCACATAGTGAGAATTATTTTTCTTTTTCTCAACATTTTTATAATAAAATTTTTTGAATGTTTGAGCTGATGCCCAGTTTGCTGTTTTGAGTATATCATTTAACGACATACCTGCATTAAGAGCAGCACTCGAAGATGCTGATCTATATGAATGAGCTTTGAATTTAGAAATATCTATACCAGAATTAATTAAAACAACCTTAAGCCATCTGGCTATTGAACAGCTGGTAACTGCTTTCAAAGTTTTAAAAGATACAAACAATTTGTTACTCTTTCTAACATTTTGTGTTCTTAAAATATAATGTTTTAAAGTTTTTAGTGGACAAATTTCTGGTTTACAGAAAGATGCAACTGTAATTTCTTGATTTAAATTTTTTGGTCTGCTTGTTTTTAGCAAAGTGCCAATCTTAAAGACAATTGAATTATCTGAACAATATGCTAGTTTCAAATTTAGACTGCTAAGTGTTTGTGATCTCTGTGCTGTTGCTAGAGCCACCAAAGCTACACTTTTCAGAGTGACCATCTTTAATGACAGATCATTAAGTGGATATAAAGATCCTAAATACTTTAATACTTGGCCTACATCCCATGTAAAAATGTATCTTGCAACTGGAGGTCTCATGTTGAAAATTCCTTTAAGGAATCTTTTAATGAAATAATTGTTATCAAAATTCTTGTTCCCTATTATTGTCAGAGTCTGACATATAGCTGATTTATGGGAACAGACACAACTGTAAGACCTCCCATTATGAAATAGAATGGACAAATAATGCAAAAACTGTTTTACAGTTGGTTTAAGTGGATTAATCTGTTTTCGATTACACCACAATAACCATTTTCTCCAAGAGTATTCATACTGAATGTTTGTAGATTTTCTCCAAGATTTGGATAAAATTTTTGTTGTTTTTCCCGAAAACCCTTGGCTATGGAGATATCTCCGGATACCAGACAAGCGATAAGGAATAATTTTCTTTTGTTCATTTGGTGTTTTTGTTGGTTGTGAGCTAAAGTTAGCAAATCTGAACACTGTGGCAATTTGATTGGCGAAGCAATCAACAATTTTAATAGCTTTGGAAACCATACTTGTGTTGTCCACAGTGGTATAATCAGTATAACTTTTCTTACCTGATCGTCTTCGATCTTCATCAACACCTTGCTGATCTGACTGAAAGGAGGAAAAATATATGGTTTTAAATTTTGCCATGAAAAAGAAAATGCATCAGTTGCCCAGGCTTCTGGGTCTGGATACCAACTTACATATTTTTCCAACTGTTTATTCAACCTAGAGGCAAATAGATCTACATCTGGGATGAAAAAATGTCCTATTACTTGACAAAAAATTGACTCTTTCAACTTCCATTCTGATGTATCTTTAAAACATCTTGATAAATTATCTGGAATTAAATTTTCACTACCAGGAATATGAACTGCTGAAATATATACATTATTTCTGATACACCAAAACCAAATTTGTTTTGAAATAACTAACAGGGGTATAACTGAACCGCCCTGATTGTTAATGTAACTGACTGCTGTGGAACTATCTGTTCTTACTCTAACATGAGCATCCTTAATATGGTTACACAAAGAAATTAAACCAAAATATATAGCTTTTAGTTCTAAGACATTGATATGCAAATTCTGTTCGACTAAATTCCAACGACCTTGTGTTGAACATGAAGTTTTGTCAAGGAAGGCACCCCAGCCTTTCATCGAGGAATCTGTATGTAAAGAATGACTAGGGGGATCCTCCCTTATCAATTTTCCATTCTCAGAATTAACATTTGCAAGCCACCAACGAATTTCAGATCTACTTTCTTCAGAAATGATCATATTTGCATTGTAGTTCTTATTTGATTTTATAAGAGCACGAGTTTTATCAATATCTAAGTATCTATGGAACAGATGAGCATGCGTAACTGCATATCGAGCAGATGAATACAAACCAACTAATTGTGCTACATGTCTTATCAATATATTCTGAGGCTTTAAAACATTATTTGAAATTTCAATAATTTTCTGTATTTTATCTTCAGGTAGGAAAACTCTAAACAAAACTGAGTCTATTATGTATCCCAAAAATGTAATCCTCTGTGATGGGATAAATACAGATTTTTCCATATTTATATTAAAACCAACTGACTGAATGAATTGTTGGACTTTCTTTGTGTTAATAACACTTGTAGAAAAACTTTCAGCTTGTAATAAAGAGTCGTCAATATAAAAGTATGAATCTATTCCTATACTTCGAATGTGGGAAAATATGACCTTCAAAATTTTTGTGAAAACTCTGGGAGCAGATGCTAATCCAAAAGGTAAACACTGAAAAGCATATAATTTACCATCCCAAACAAATTTTAAAAATTTTCTGTCTGATTCCTTAATTGGAACTGAAAAATATGCATCAGTCAAATCAAGGGATGTAAAAAAGTTCCCTCTTTGTATTCCTTTCAAGATTAAATCTAAATTCTCTTGTTTGAAATGATGATAAGTGACAAATTCATTTAAATGTCTAAGGTTAATGACAGGACGAAATTTTCCACTTTTCTTTTTTACCAAAAACAAATTTGAAATAAATTCACCATCTTCATGACAGACTTCTTTTATTGCACCTTTTGATAACAATTCTGAAACTTCTTCCTGAATTAAATTAATTTCAGTATCATTGAACTTAATAGGTGTAGGAATTTTTCCTTGAAAAGGCTTTTTATTAAACTCAATTTTATGCCCCATCACAGTTGACAAAACCCATTTGTCATGTGTTAAAGTTTTCCATTTAGAAATAAATTTTTTAAGTATACCAGCAGTTTTTATTTTTCTACTGCTTACCTTTAATACTTGTTGAATTTTTTCTGGCCGTAGCCTCTTCCTTGGCCTCTGTTTGAGTATGGAACCCTTTGATTTCCATGTCCTCTGGAGTATCCTCGTCTCCCTAAAAAACGACCTTGTGACTGATTGTAAGGGTATCGGCCTCTGCCACCTCTGTAACTATAACTTCTCCCTGAGATGTTTTTGTTTATCTTATTCACTTCATTTATTTGATTTAACTTCTTTCCAATTTCATCACCAAAAAGATTGGTACCAATTTCTTCATTCTTGTTACACAACTGGTGGAATTTTCTGTCTATGTATGGTTTGAGCATTAGCTTCCTTTTAACCGACAACTCAAAATGAGTATTGCAAAGAACAGTCATAGCTTTAGACACAGCTTCTCTCATCAACTTTATGTCAGGTTTTTTAGTTTTCAGAATACCTGCCAGAGTTATCACAGGGATCATCCCGTATGCAAGAAGTCTCTGAAGATTCTGGAGACCTAAATCAGATGATTTTGTCTTGCGGTCTAAAAATTGCCATATTTCTGGGTTAACTGGCGGCACAACAAGGCTCTTGCAATTTGAGGGCACCTTCAGTTCATTGACCATTGACGAAACATCTGTTTTCTTTTTACAAATATTGTCACAGACTTTAGAGATGGATTCACATACCTCTTCACCAAATCTTTCATCGCCTTCGAAAATACGGGGCAATTCATAATCAAAATCATTATTCTCATCTGAAGAGACTTCACTCTGATCATTACAGTTACCATTGTTATTGTTACATGTATCATAAACAGGATAATCAGACTCTTCTTCTTGGTCAGAATACGGATTATTGTGAATATTCTCAGTCCTAGCCGTCTCATTATTTTGTCTAGTTCTTTGCAGACTATTGTCTCTCTGTGTGTTCCCAGTAAGGGTGGACCTCAAAGAATCTGTCAACCCTTGAAATAATGATTTTATCAGTTCTGTATTGTCAGTTTTTGATTTTTTAGCCTTTGGTTTAGTAGTTTTTGTTTGTACTTTTGGTTTGGCTTTCTTTTTCATAGGGCTTACTGTCACTCTACTACCCGAGGGTATTTCAACTGATTCGGAAGTTTTACGTTTAAGGGCCTTGCCCTTTCCGCTATTCTTTACACTTTTTCCTTTTCTAGAGGTATTCTTCTCAAGAGACTTGACCGGTGCTTGTGTAGCGGCCATTTGCATTTCGTGTGTAACTTCCGGTTCTTCCGGAATGTGCACGGTTTCAGCTCCGCTTTTCTGTGGGGTCGAAAACCCAGAAAAAGAAGCATCTATTTCTTCTTCAGATGCGAAAAGCTTTAAAACTTGCTCATCGTTAAGTTCATCATCAAAATTATCGTGGTCGGAGTCGGACTCACTGTCACTCAAACTATGACAACGTGACATTATTCAGTGTCGGATTTTTATATCTCGACCAAATTACTTTTTATCAATACCGAGTCGGTAATTTAAAGTTTAAGTAAATAATCTTAACAGAGTCTGTTAGATCTTTACAGGCGTGCTGCCTTTAAAATAAAGAGGACGCTTACAGGTGTACCTCCACTTATATAGTACTGGTCAATTTAAAAACCAGCGAGCTGTGAAGAAAGGCGTGCGACCTTCACATAAAGTAAAGGTTCAATTATTAACCCGAGCAAAGCCCGGGATTGTGAAATATAATAGTTAAATGCACGCAATAATTTCTGAATTTACAGTAAGTAACATCCATTAACCCCTACATTACTAAAAAAGAGATTCTTTCAACAAACAAACATTTTAATTGAATTTGGTATTTTTTTTTACACAGTAAAACATTATCTCAACTTTTCCTTTTGGATTTTTAGAGTGATGATGGTGAAAATGAGGAGGAAGCAGTACATGTAGATGACAACAACAAAGGATTAAAGGGTAATAAATTTTTTAAGTTTTTTATTATCAGAGATGCAGATCTAGAAATATGAAATTGGTGACTGTTTGACAATTCTTTTAATTAGGTGAAAAAAAACTTTGGGTAAATAATATTTTCACCAACATTATTCTTTACGGTGATGTTCTTTTTGTTCAAAGACTAGTTTAATGCAGAAAAGCAGAGTAAAAACATATCTAACAGACAAAAACTACTTCCACAAATGCATGGCTGCCAACTGTAAAAAGGAAGTTGAAAATCTGGATCTGATTTTAGAACCAGTTACAGCTGTATCATGGCTTGCTTATTAGAAAGAAAGAAAACGAAAAAAAATTGCTGGCCCTCCATCTTTGTTTTTTTGTCTCGCCTGCAACAAAAGTCGCAGTATTTCTTCGCATTATGTGAGACATGTATTACTATCCAGCGGCAATGGCGGCATCACAAAAGCAGTGGCAACTGCGTCAACTATTTATATGAAGCCTTATGTTTCGGAAGATTGAAGACCTGGATGCTTCATATCTTGTATGCAGATACCTTATGTTAAGAAGTGTCCGTTTGTCATTTGTCCAATGTCATTGACCTCATTTTTATGGTTCAGCGACTGCTTGAAAAGAAATTGAGTTTTTTATATGACCGCAAAAATTTGCTTATGTTCATATAATGCTTTGATGTTGTCGTCATCGTTGTCATTGTTGTCTTTGTTCGCGCCTGTGTCAGCTTCGTTTGAAATCACATTTGGTTTATGGACAATTACTTTAGTTTTAGTGAATGGATCTCTACCAAATTTTACCAGAAGGTTAACTAACTTCTTAAAAGCTTTATATTTTAGAAGGTGGAAGACCTGGATGCTTCATACTTTGTATATAAATCCTCTATAGTACGAAGTTTCCGTCTGTCACATGTCCATTGTCCTTAACCTCATTTTCATGGTTCAGTGACTACTTGAAAAAAAAAGTTAAGATTTTTTGTAATGTTAATTTCTCTCTTATTATGAGTAATAGGATAACTATATTTATTATGTGCGTACCTTGCAAGGTCCTCATGCCTGTCAAACAGTTTTCACTTGACCTCAACCTCATTTCATGGATCAGTGAACAAGGTTAAGTTTTGGTGTTCAAGTCCATATCTCAGATACTATAAGCAATAGGTCTAGTATATTTGGTGTATGGAAGGGTTGTAAGGTGTACATGTCCAACTGGCAGGTGTCATCTGACCTTGACCTCATTTTCAGTGGTTATAGTTAAGTTTTTGTGTTTTGGTCTGTTTTTCTTATACTGTATGCAATAGGTAAACTATATTTGGTGTATGGAATGATTGCAAGGTGTACATGTCCAACCGGCAGGTGTCATCTGACCTTGACCTCATTTTCACTGTTCATTACTCAGTGTTAAGTTTTCATGGTTAAGTTTGTTTCTTAGATACTATAAGCAATAGGTCAACTATATTTAATGCATAGATTGATTGTAAAGTGTACATGTCTGTTTGGCATGGTTCATCTGACCTTGACCTCATTTTCATGGTTCATTGGTCAATGTTTAGTTTTCTTGGTTAAGTCTGTTTCTTAGAAACTATAAGCAGTAGGTCAACTATATTTAGTGTATTGAATGATTGTTAGGTGTACATGTATTTCTCGTTTGGTTTTTCTGACCTTGACCTCATTTTCTTGAATCATGTTGAGTTTATGTGATAGTTGTAGTAAAGCATTATATTTAGGACTATCAACATAATATCAATGGTTAGTAAAGAAGGCAAGTCATTTCAGCGTGTGCACTCTTGTAGTGTTTTGGTCTGTTTTCCAAGTAATAGCTCAGCTCTAGATCTATTTGGTGAATGAATTAATTGTTAAGTGTACATGTCTGTCTAGCAGGTATTGTCTGACCTTGACCTAATTTTCATGGTTCATTGATCAATAATACATTTTCCTATACATTTTGTCAGTCTATGAGATACTATTTTTCAAGTACTTAAGCAATAGGTCAACTATTTTTTGGTGTATGGAAGTCCTAGCCCAGAATAAATACAATAATCCACTGGTATCAATGTAAGAATCTATATATATTACTGTTGGTATGCTTGGCTGTCCTTCAGGGAATTTAATTATACACAAATTTCATGAACATTAGAGGAAAAGAGATTTGTGAAATGCAAAATGAATTGCATTCCAAATCGAAATACAGAAAAAATAAATGAAATAATTAAGTATAGATACATGAACTGATGTTAGTTCAAATGTTTAAGATTTGAATCGAAAATGGCCATCATGGCCAGTCAAAGAGCCTAAATGAATTAAACTTAAGGAATAAACTTCTAAAATTTGTATCATTGTACCATTTAAAATGCAAAATTAAAAAGCATAGTAACCAGGTAAACAAAGGTTTTATTTAGCACCGAAATTTTCATACGCTGTTTATGGGAAACTTTGGTGACTTGTTTATATCTATTAAAATAACCTCCCTTAATTTTTTATGTCCTACCTAGGGGCATTATGTTTTTCGTTCTGATCATCCGTCCGTCATCCCTCCCTCCGTCCTTTCTGTCTGTCCCCCTTCAGGTTAAAGTTTTTGGTCAAGGTAGCTTTTGATTAAGTTGAAGTCTGCAGATCAACTTGAAACTTAGTACACATGTTCCCTATGGTATGATCTTTCTAACTTTTAATTCAAATTTGACCCCGATTTCACGGTCCACTGAACATAGAAAATGATAGTGTGAGGGGGGCATCAGTGTACTATGGACACATTCTTGTTTTAATAAAAATCTGAAATGACATTGAGGCATTGTGGAAAATTTTTCTTTGAAAAAATGATGGGTGTATCATGCGCTCATAGGGCAGCTAGTTATTTTTGAAAATCATTAAAAACAACTGTCTACAAAATGCATAGATTCCAGATGAGGAAAACCTGGTCTTATATGTTCTTGTGTACGGTCTAGCTAATTTTTAAGTTCATATTGATAATATGTTATTTATTTATTAATATTCTTTTTTGTAGGAACAAGAAATCCAAAAAGACCATGTCCGTTTTGTGGTATATTTCAAAGTCGATTAAGCAGGCATATTCTAACTAAACATAGAGACAACGATGAGGTAAAGGCAGCAAAGCAGCTTCCTGTAAAGGACAGAAATCAGGTTTTATGCAATTTGAAAAGGAGAGGCTATCACCAGTACAACTTGATGCTAATGAAAGAGGATGATTTTGATGTGAATCAAATAGTTAAGGAAAGGCAGGCAAGAAAACAGAGGGAAGGAGATGCAATGGAAAATAGGGCTATGTGTTCCTCATGTCAGGGTTATTTTGTAAAAGAACACTTGAAGATTCACAGAATCAAATGTACAGCAGCAGAGGGAACAACAATTACACCAACTGCAATTCCACTTTCTGCTGTTAGAGATGATGGTTACACTGAAGATTATAAGGCAGACATCTTAAGTGGCTTTTTGGATGACACAAGTGGAAAGTTTTGTAAAACTGATAAATACCTAAAAGATTTTGGATTTCACAGTTACAGAAGATTTGCAGCAAGGAAGGATAAAAACCCACAGAACAGAAAAAATATAATGAAGCACATGAGGATGCTAGCAAATCTTTTCTTTTGTTTTAAAAGCGAGGCAGCTAAAATTGGCATAGACATAAATGCAACATTAGACATGTTTAAAATGGAACACTTTACCACTTTTATGGATGCTATCCATGTGATGGCTGCAAAAGATGATGGTGGCATGAAATCTGGTTTAAAGAAAAACATAGGTCATCTTTTAAAAAATGTTATTAGACACATAAAAGGGCAGCATTTATTGCAGGGTAAGAGAGATAAGCTGGTAAAAATTGAGGAATTCAAAACATTATTTGATTACTACAGAAAGGAGATATTCGATGGAGCTGAGTACAATTGTATTAAGAATAGACAGGAAAACCTCAGACGACCACAATATTTACCTCTTGATGATGATGTAAGAAGATTGAGAAATTACACCCTTTCTGGAATTGCTCAGATGGATGACCCATATCAGATTTTAGATGTTAATGAATATCCTCGGCTTAGAGATCTTGTGGTGGCAAGAATTACACTGTTCAATGCCAAGCGGGGAGGAGAACCAAGTAGACTTACTTTAAAGGAATGGAATGATGCAAAAGATGGCGTCTGGTTAGATGAAACCCACAAGAAAAAAGCCAAAACATCAGAAGAACTTGAATTGTTTGAAATATACAAATTGTCGTATCAGTCTGGCAAAAGTGTGTGCCATATGCTCCCAACGCTCATTCCGAAAGATTCTTGGAAAGCTATAAGAAAGCTTGCTGATCCACAGATAAGACAGATGGCAGGTGTAAAACCTACTAATATATATGTATTTCCAAACATCCAAGGCTCCAACTTTCATGTAAATGGATGGAATAGTGTAAACAAAGTTTGTAAGCAGGCAGGGCTGACAAAAGAGATTAACGCCACCCAAATGAGACATTACATGTCAACTGTGTTTGCAAACTTGGATGTACCGGAGACAGACAGGCAGGCTTTTTATAGACACATGGGCCATTCAGAAGAAATCAATAAACATGTTTACCAATGTCCATTGGCTGTTCAAGAAATTACAAAAGTTGGAAAGTTTTTTTATCTTATGGACAAAGGTAAGTTTTTTTTTATATTAAATATTGTTTACATATAGATAGAGTCTTGACTTTTCCCCCAAAGACATACAATCAGAGCATGGTCCACATTAATGGTTGTTTGATTGCCCAAGACCTGAGTGAAAGTCATCATTGGCCAAGTAAAATCTGCAGCCATACTTGTCAGATTGGCAAGTAAAAGCTTCAATGTACTTTTTGTACGATTGCAAGTTAAAATCAAAAGTGTAAAACAGTGAAAAATACTGGATCTAGTATTAATTTATATAAATAATCATATCAATTAGCCTAGACATTATGTTATAGTTATTGACCAAGCAAGTCGGTATATATGATATAATCTGCACAACTCGAGTGACCCTTATTAACTGGAACGACGTAGGAGTTCAGGTTAAAGAGTCATCCCGACCGTGCAGATTAAATGATATATACCGATTTGATTAGCCAATAACTGTTTGAACACATGACGCCATCAATTTACGTGAACATTTTAGAAATATGCGAATTATATTCTGCAATCCATGGCTCCTAAGAAAGTTCCTTGTAGGATAAAGAAAGGGGGAAATACGCTTTTATGTAGTTAAAATTATGAAGTATTTAAATATTAACTTTTTTCATATTTAGGCTTCTTCCTAAATTGTAAAAAAAAATGTTACATTATTAGGAGAATCGCGATTTAATGGTAGATTTTTTTTGTTATCGTTTCTGTTAAATTTATTCACAATTTTTATATAAATTAGTGAAGAATTAGAAATTGACATATTGTGTAGACACCTATCTATTGTTGAAAACTATACTATATGTTACCTTCTAGATGTCCTTAGTTTGTTCTTGTTGTTTGGTTGCTGTCTTATTGGTGTATAACCTACATCTCCTACAGTTTTAGTACCGTTTGGTGTACTTTTAAATCAGTGTATGAAAAATCATAACTAAAATGGTTATTGTGTATAGATTTATTGTCTATCTTTCCCTCAATAATATGCTTAGAGGAAGATGGACTGATGAGAGATGCATGTACACAGGGACTTGTGTCTATCCGTGGGAAGGTCGACTATCCATATGTAATACATATGGATAGTTGACCTTCCCATGTGGAGATGTACCTAAATTAAATATATTAAGTATACAGAAAAAAGTGTTTCACTTTTCAATCTTAACTTCCCCTCCACCTCCAATTTTTTTCTACTGTATAAATTTTTGAAGACATATAGCATCTTAACAAAATCTGATTCACCCCATCCCCCCACGCTGTTTTGATACAAACTTAAATATGATTCCCATTAAATTTGATCCCAAAATAATCACTTTAAAGGCATACATATCTAAATAGTCGTAATAAATTCCATTGAGCACGAAACTGATTCAAATCAGATTTTATTTATTTAGATATTCTAAAATACATTTTATTTTGGCAGAAATTACAAAAAAATCATTATTATCTGGTTTGACTGTGAAACACTGTTAAAATTCAGATGTACATTGTGCACAAAATATTATAAAATATTTTATGTCCCATCCTTTGATTTGAAAACATATCTTGTTTTAGCATAAAATCGTCAAAAAATGTTTTTAGTCTCGCTACACTCGGTGATATTTTTAAAAGTTTATGGAATTAAACCCCTTTCAATTAAATCCAGGACTGCTCCTAAAGGTTAGAGTATACTTTTGAACTGTGCAGTATATCTGAGGTAGTTAATGCACACCTTTGCTGTGCATTATCCCGATTATAGCACAGTAATTAAGAACAAAGAGATTACCCATTTTATGTGTTATAAGTGACAAATTAACATATTTTCCCTTTCTAACTTTATAAATTATTTTAATGTTAGCCAATCAATGTACGATTCTGTTGTTGATTCCCATCAAATTAGACAGGGGTATGGAAATGCTCTGCCCAATTTGCCTGACTTATTGTACATTATTTTGACCTGGTTATACCCGTAGACAAGTAAAACATTACACTTTACATAATTAAATTAAATAAAAAATATAGAATTATTTTCACATCATTGTTCATGATGAGATCTAAGTATCAGTTAAAATTTAAAAAAGATTGATTATTAAGCCAGAATAACAAAAATAAGTTGGACTCAATAGCATAACATGATCTTTGTCCATTAACCCAGGATGGCCAATTAGGTTTATCTGACATTAACGGAAGTGACATTTTAATTATACCCCTGCTTTAAAAATGTGGGGGTATACTGTTTTTCCTCTGTCTGTCCGTCCGTCCGTCCATATGTCCATCCGTCCCATGAATATTTTTCGTCGCATTTTTCTTAGGAACTACAATACAAGGATATCTGAAATTTGGTTTCGGGGTTAATATAAGTCACCTATACCGTGTGATGCGTTTCTTAGGTTCATCACTCAACAACTTCCTGTTTACGGAACACTTGTATCATTTTACACATGATAACCAAGTTGAAAATTTGCTAACATTTTTCTCAGGACCTACACTACAAGGATTTCTGAAATTTGGTTTCAGGGTCTATATAAGTGAGCTTTACCCTGTGATACGTTTTCAGATTCATCACTCAACAACTTACTGTTTACCGAACACTTGTATCATTTTTTACACATGATAGCCAAGTTGAAAATTTTAGTGACTTTTTTCTCTGGACCTACAGTAAAAGGATTTCGTAAATTTAGTTTCAGAGTTTATATAAGTCACCTATACCGAGTGATGCTTTTTCAGATTCTTCACTCAACAACTTCCTGTTTACCGGACACTTGTATCATTTTACACATGATAGCCAAGTTGAAAATTTTCGTCACATTTTTCTCAGGAACTACAATACAAGGATTTCTGAAATTTGGTTTTAGGGTTTATATAAGTCAGCTATACCGTGTGATGCGTTTTAAGTTTCATCACTCAACAACTTCTTGTTAACTGAACACTTGTATCATTTTTTACACATGATAGCCAAGTTGAAAATTTTCGTCACATTTTTCTCAGGAAATACAATAAAAGGATTTCTGAAATTTGTTCATCAGTGAGCAGTAGCTCGCAGTTTCACTTGTTTTTCTTGAATGACTTCTATCAGGATCAATAAATACCTGATAAAAACAACTAGACAAAAGAATGAAAATAATAATCATTAATGACGAGTGAATATAATGCTAAAAATGGAAGGGTAGAAAGACTGGGAATAAGAAGGAAAAAAATCATAATGAAAATTCCTGAAGTTATGACTAACAGATTTCCCCTGGCTTTCCAGTAAATGAATTTCTGAAAATAAATTGAATTTGTACACAATTTGTAGGAGATACCAACATCTTGATGATTAAAAGTCTATCTTATTTGTTGGCAAGTTGATATATAGAAGGGACATTTATGATCTATTATTTAGTTTTCCTCTCTTTGCTAGTGTTAAAACTTAGTACACAATTTGTACCTGCTGGCTAGTATTTTAAAAACATTGCTAAATTTCTCTCTAGATGTCTTTTGGTTGCTGTCTCATTAATGGTAACCACCTATATACATCCTTTTATTCATACACATAAAAAAATCACAAACATAATTTATATTGCAATTCAACCACTTTTAAGAATCATACAATCTTTTTTTGTGGAAATTCAGGGCAAGTAGGTCCTGGAAAATTATTTAATTCCCAGTGTGTTCATTGTAAAGAGAGCACATTTATGTTCTAGAATAACATTCTCTAGCCCCTGAGATTTAGTTAGTATAGTAAACTGGTATGAATTGCTTATACAATGAAACAAAAAATACATATGAAGAAATGGAGTAGGAGATTTATAAAATTCTGAAAAAAGTACCTTTTTGAATTGCATTTACCTTATTTTATGACCTTAAATGGCAGTTAAAAATTTGTAATATGCTATTCATTGAAGACTATTTCAGGATCGGAGGCATTGATTAAATGATAGATTTGGTAATATTTTGCATATCTATTTATATATATCATATATGCATTTCGACACACCAGCTGACCTAATTTCATTTTTTGACGACAAAAAGCGAAAGGATCTATTTACCCTGTATTTGTTTTCATTCTAAAGGTCAACATCTAAAAGTTGCCCAATCCTAATGGAAATTAAATATCAAAGAGTATAGATTTAGTTAAAGATGATCTTCTAATACATTTTTGTGGTAAATGCTCAAAATTTGCCAAAAGTTGTCAAAATTGCTGTTATGGGCTATCTTGAGACATTTACAATTTGGTGATCTGCTTAGAAAAAAAAAGAGGTGAAAGATACCAAAGGGACAGTACAACAGATCAAATCAACTGTCTAAAACCAGTTGTTAGCATGATACAGTTTATATGTTCGTCTAAAATATTTTTTGATGGTATGATACTTAACCCCTAACGGAAGGGTTTCTGCTTGATTTTCATATGATGAGGACATAATCTTTCAATCAGATAAATTGAGGTCTGGAGCTGGCATGTCAGTAACTGCTTGTAGTCCTTTGTTAATTTATGTATCAATGCCATTTAATTTTGCTTAGTTTCTTTTGTTACCTACTCTGACATCAGACTTCTTTTAAACTGATTTTTACTGTGTGTTGCGGTGTTTGTTTATTCTTCATTGGCTAGAGGTAATTGGGGAGGGTTGAGATCTCACAAAGCATGTCTAACCATTTTTGCACCTGTCCTAAGTCGGGAGCCTCTGGCCTTTGTTAGTCTTGTATGTTATTACGTTTTTAGTTCATTTATATGTTTTGGAGTTTAGTGTAATGTCTATTTTCACTGAACTAATACACATTTTTGTTTAGAAGCCAGCTGAAGCCTGCCTTAGGGTGCGGGATTTTCTTGTGTTGAAGACCTATTGGTGGCCTTTGGCCGTTTTCTGCTCTTTGGTCGGATTGTTTTCTCTTTGACACACCTCCAATTTCCTTCTCAGTTTTATTATAGCTATGAGAAATAATCATAACTGAAATATGAGGTTGTTAATTATCTGCTTAAGTAAAATTGAGAATGGAAATGGGGAATGTGTCAGAGACAACAACCCTACCAAAGAGTAAACAACTATGACCTACATGCAAGACTCAAATGGCAGTTCGAAAAATGAAATGTTTTAAAATAGTGGCTTAAACTAAATTAAGATGCATGATTATTATTTAAAATTATAAAATGAAATCATAGAAAAATTTACCCACTCTGTAGTCTACCAAAGATTGCAATAAAGACGAAAAAATTGAGTTTGGTAGTCTTAATTCTATACCCTAAATAGTAGATACGGGTTTTGCAATGACATTTAGTGATGCCTTCTTATGTTAAATTATATTGACAAGCCCACATTATATTCAGACAATAAATCTGCATCTGGCATATTCTATCTTTATAAATTTTGTCAAGCATTTGTTGACTTATGTTAACACTCTGATTTTTTTTTATATTTAGATGGTATTAAAGCTTATCCTGATTCTCAGTCATTACCAGCAAAAATGCAAAATGCTGACCAAGGTAGTATGTTTAAAGACAGATATATATGAAAATATATGTATTCAAGCTCAAGTACATACTCAAAAGTATCTGATTTTATGTTTTTTAAGTATTTGGACTAAATTCCTAAAAAAGGGGATTTATTTTCAGAGTTGGGACAATAACTCAAAAATGATTTGAGCAGTTTTCATGAAACTTTGATGACTTGTTTATATCTATTGAAATAAGCTGTCTGTTGTTTTTTTTTTTACATATAAATGACATTGAGAACTTTATTTATTGACAAATTGTTGAAAACTGTCAATTTTTCACACCATTGACGGTTATAGAATTTCATTAAAAGCATGAAGATGAGCAAAATGGGCAGCAGACGTATATGCATATGGTGCAGCTCTTTATTTCATTTTTGCAGAAATCTTTATAGATAAGGATGAGAACTAGTAAAAAACAAAGATGTTAAGTACAATGAGTCTTACAAATAAGCAACATGGCTGTAATTGTCAACTTACTTCCTTTAGGAGTTAATGCCTTTATATAACTGCAAAATATTTTTGGGGCTCGTATAATGCTATGATGTCGTAGTCGTCTGCGTCGTCTTCGTCATCGTCCAAAGACACATTTGGTTTCAGGACAATAACTTTAGTTTAAATGAATGGATCTCTATGAAATTTTACAAGAAGGTTCAATACCACAAAAGGATGATTGGGATTGATTTAAGGGGTTATGGTACCAACAGTTTAGGAATTAGGGGCCAAAAAGGGGCCAAAACAAGCATTTTTGTAGTTTCCGGACAATAACTTGTGTGTAAGTGTATGGATCTCTCTGACATTGTATGACAATGTTCCATATCACAAAGGGAAGGCTGGGAGTGAGTTTGGGGGAAATAACCCCAAGCATTCAGGAATTAGGGGCAAAAAAGGGGCCAAAAACAAGCATTTTTGTAGTTTCCGGACAATAACTTGTTTTTAAGTATATGGATCTCTCTAAAATTGTACTACAGGGTTTCATACTACAAAGGGAATGCTGGGATTGAGTATGGGGTAATTGCTCCAAGAGTGGGGGATCAAAAAGTTGGGGGGGGGGGGGATTTTTTTTACAATTTTTTAAGGGGTTCATAATTTTTTTTCTTCAAAATTTTTCAAATTTCAATATTTGATAAGTTTCAAGAAGAAATCTTCAATTGCACAGTATTGCGCAATAGATTTTTAAGATCTTTGACCACATTTATCTTGTGTCAGTAACCTGAATTATGTCAAAAACTGGATCACAATCCAAATTCAGACAGTATCAAGCTTGAATACTGTGTCCAAATTTGCCCCAACTGTTCAGGGTTTGACCTCTGTGGTTGTATCAGGCTGTGCCCAGCAAAGCATTTTATTTGTATTTGTGCTGTTTTTGCACAAACTATAATTGAAAGTGATAAACAGTTATTACCAAAACTGTATCACCATAAGGTCTTTAACAATGAGTAGAAACGATACTGGTTAGTAAGTTATAAATAGTCACTAAATGACTGATATGGCTAAAAAATAAATTAGGGGGTAAAAATCAAGTTTTGTCTATTATCTTGAAAACTATAATAAATAAAGAAAATCAGACATGGCAGAACTGATGAGAACTATGTAGTATCTATCCAGTTGTATAAATACTGTCAGATAACTTCTTGTAGGAGTTATTGCCCTGAAATGCTCCTAAAGAGCCTCAAGTCTAGTTACAAATTCTGACTAGACCAATTTTCTTGATTATGATTGTACAATTAGGTAAAGTTGTAAAAATTTATGTTACTTTGTATAATGATTAAAATTAATTGAATTTATTTTAGTTGCCTATAAAGTTTTTTAACACATAATTTGTATACGATCACAAAAAATTTTGCGGTCGTATATTGGTATCACTATGACGTTGTCGTTGTCCAAAGACACATTGGTTTTCGCACAATAACTTTAGTTTAAGTGAATGGATCCTTATGAAATTTTACCATCAGGTTCAATACCACAAAAGGAAGATTGGGATTGATTTTGGGGGTTATGGTACTAACAGTTAAGGAATTATGGGCCAAAAAGGGGCCAAAAATAAGCATTTTTGTAACTTCCAGACAATAACTTGTGTGTTAGTGTATGGATCTCTCTGACATTGTACCACAAGGTTCCATATCACAAAGGGAATGCTGGGATTGATTTTAGGGGTAATTGCCTCAAAATTTTAGGAACTAGGGGCAAAAAAAGGGGCAAAAAACAAGCATTTTTCTAGTTTCATGACAATAACTTGTGTGTAAGTGTATGGATCTTTCTGAAATTGTACTACAAGGTTCCATTTTACATAGGGAAAGCTGGAATTGAGTTTTGGGGTAATTGCCCAAAACGTTAAAGAAAAAGAGGCAAAAAATAAGCATTTTTTTAGTTTCCAGACAATAACTTGTGTTTATGTGTATGGATCTCTCTGAAATTGTACTGCAAGGTACCATACCACAAAGGGAAGGCTGGGATTTATTTTGGGGGAAATTGCCTCAAAATTTTAGGAATTAGGGGCCAAAAAGAGGCAAAAAAAACAAGCATTTTTCTAGTTTCAGGACAATAACTTGTGTGTTAGTGTATGGATCTTTATGCAATTGTACTACAAGGTTCCATCTCACAAAGGGAAAGCTGGGTATGCGTTTGGGGGTAGTTGCCCTAAACGTTTAGGAATTTGGGGCAAAAAAACAAGCATTTTTACAGTTTCCAGACAATAACTTGTGTTCAAGTGTATGGATCTCTTTGAAATAGTACTGCAAGCTACCATACCACAAAGGGAAGGTTGGGATTGAGTTTGGGGGTGATGAATCATAAGGGGGTTCAAAAATTGGGGGGGGGGGGATTTTTTTTTCCTTTTTTTATCTTTCTTTAAAATTTTCCATTTTAAGTTGGTTATTTTTTATTTATATATAAAAGCAAATAATAATGATAAGGTTTGATTTCGTCAAAAATTGAAATATTGGGGTTCTTTGATATGCTGAATCTAACCGTGTATTTAGATTCTTAATTTTTGGTCCTGTTTTAAAATGGGTCTACATTAAGGTCCAAAGGGTCCAAAATTAAACTTAGTTTGATTTTAACAAAAATTGAATTCTTGTTGTTCTTTGATATGCTTAATCTAACCGTGTATGTATTTAGATTTTGGATATTGGACCATAATAGGTAAATTCAAATTTTTTTAAGTTCTTAGACCACATTCATTCTGTGTCAGAAACCTATGCTGTGTCAAATATTTAATCACTATCCAAATTCAGAGCTGTATCAAGCTTGAATGTTGTGTGCATACTTGCCCCAACTGTTCAGGGTTTGACCTCTGCGGTTGAATCAAGCTGCGCCAAGCTTATCATTTTTGTTTTGTTTTAAATATCGTTAAATAACATTTGTTGGATTATTCAATTGATAATGACACTTTGTAAAAGCTGTATCTGAAAATTTGCTTAGCTTTTTTAGCTCACCGGGGCCCTTGGCCCCATGTGAGCTTATGCCATCACTTGGCGTCCGTCGTTGTCTGTCTTCGTCGTCTGTCGTCATCGTCTGTCGTCTGTTGTTGTCTGTCGTCGTCTGTCGTCGTAAACTATTTCAAAAATCTTCTCCTCTGAAACTACTGGGCCAAATACCTTCAAACTAACTAAATGTTCTTTAGGGTATCTAGTTTATAAATTGTATCCGAAGTTTTGATCCATCGACAAACATGGCCGCCATGGCTAAAAATAGAACATAGGGGTCAAATGCAGTTTTTGGCTTATATCTCAAAAACTAAATCTTTTAGAGCAAATCTGACATGGGGTTAAATTGTTCAATTGGTCAAGATATATCAGCTCTGAAATTTTCAGACGAATCGAACAACCCATTGTTGGGTTGCTGCCACCGAATTGGTAGGTTTAACAAAATTTTGCAGTTTTTTGTTATTAATTTGAATATTATTATAGATATATATAAACTGTAAGCTGCAATAATGTTCAGCAAAGTAAGATCTACAAAAAAGTTAATATGACCAAAATTGTCAATTGATCCCTTAAGGAGTTATTGCCCTTTAAAGACAATTTTACACAATTTATTCATCAAGTTTGCTAACATTTAAAAATCTTCTCCTCTGAAATACAGGTGAGCAATTCAGGCTCTTGAGAGCCTCTTGTTAAGGCTACAAATAAAAGAGAATCCTTTTAATGCCCCCACTGTAGCAGAGGGGGCATTTAGTTTTGCCCTTGTCCATCTGTATGACCGTATGCCCATAGGCCCAAAAAGTTAGTTTCCTTTCTCTTATTTTAGTTTGCCTCAATCAAATATTATGAAACTTATACACACACTTATAACTACTAAACCCAGATCAAGATTCAATTTGGCGTCACTGTTATCATTTTAGAGTAATGCCCCTTTATAAATGGAAAAATTGTTCGTTTCTGTTCTGTTTGCCTCAACCAAATGTTATGAAACTTTTACCCAATGCTAATTACTATAAAACACAGATCATGTCTGAATTTTGTTTGTGTCACTTTTATTGTTCTAGACAGTAGACTAAGTATGCCCCTTTCCAAATGGAAAAATTGGTGAATTTTTTGTTTCTGTTTAACTTTAGTTTGCCTTAACCAAATGCTATGAAACTTATACATAATGCTTATTACTACAAAACTCAGATCATGTTTGAATTTTGGTGGCGTCGCTTTTACCGTTCTAGAGTTTTGCCCCTTTATAAATGGAAAAATTGCTGAGATATTCGGTTCTGTCCTGTAGTGACTTTATATTGCCTCAACCAAAAGTTATAAAACTTATGCACTATGATAATTACCACAAAACACAGATCAAGTTTTAATTTTGGTGGTTTCAACTTAATCGTTTTTATACGTAATAATGTCCCTTTCCAAATGAAAAAATTGCAGAATTTTTCATTTCAGTTATCTTACTTAAATTTGCCTCAACTTAATGTTATGAAACTTATACACAATGCTTATTACCACAAAACTCAGATGGAGTACAAATTTAGATAATGTCACTTATTTTTAGCTCAACTGGCTATGCTTAAAAGGGCCAAAAAAGAAGCGCAAAAGATACCAGAGGGACAGTCAAACTCATAGATGAAAAATAAACTGACAACACCATGGCTAAAAATGAAAAAGACAAACAGACAAATAATAGTACACAAGACACAACATAGAAAACTAAAGACTAAGCAACACGAACCCCACCAAAAACTGGGGGTGATCTCAGGTGCTACGGAAGGGTAAGCAGATCCTGCTCCACATGTGGCACCCTTAGTGTTGCTCATGTTATTAAAAAGTGAGCTTTTCTCATCATTTTGGGTAAGTTGTCTGTCCTTGTGCATTTTCGTTGTCTGTTAACTTTTACAAAAATCTTCTCCTCTGAAACTATAGGGCCAAATGTACATGGATGACATAGCTAAAAACAGAACATATGGGTAAATGCAGTTTTAGCTTATATCTCTGAAACTAAAGCAAAATTTAAATGGTTGCATTATTTCATGCATCAATTGTAAAAAAAAAATATCAGGTTAGCGACATAGGCTCCTTGGAGCCTCTAGTTTACAGTACTTGAGTTATGTCCCTTTATGATGTTATATATGCAAGCAGGGGCATATTCTGTGGACACATTCCCTATTTTTTTTTCAGAAGATGTTGCGGGTACTTCATATGACAATAGTGGTGGTACTGATGAAAATACAGATATAACAGAGAGTGATGAGGGTATGTTTATCTAAATTATGAATTATGGATAATTAAAATACAAACTATTAAAGTAATTCTGTGCACTTGGAAAACTAGTTTAATGGTAATCAATTATAGAAACTTTTCGAAAAATCCATTATGATTATCATTAATAGAAATCAAAATTTCATTTTTGAATCGTTTCACATATAACAGAGTGGTGGAATGTTTTGATAAGAGATAAAAGTAAAAAAAATATCTAATATAAAATGTTTTCAAAGAAACCTTTTCTAATATTCCTGAATTAAAATGTAAAGACAACCTTTAAACAACCATTAAATAAACATTTGTATACACACACTTTTTTTGGTGGACTCTGCAATTTTGCATCTGTATATTTGAGTGATTACATTTTTATAATAGATTCAGGTTCAAGTTCAAGTTTTGGAAAAGCAAAGAGAGGGAAAAAAAGAAAGAATAGAGGTATATTGTTTTTTAATACATTTTTTTATGGTTGTTTTATGGATTGAATATAAACTTTTCTACTCTTTATTACTTTTTTTAACTTATTTTAAATACTGTGAATTCACTATTAATTGTTTGGTAATTTTTTTGAATTGGTGGTTTATGTGAATTACAAATTTTGGTAATCAGCAAAATCAAAATTTGCTATAAGCAGGACTGCAGACTTAAGCAAAACCCAAAATCAAGTATCCATGAAAATACAATATTTGCTCCATTTCCAAAAATTGATACCCATAAAAAGTTAATGAAACAAATTGACTGATATATATTAAATGGAATCTCAGATGTTAGTGGAATATGTCATGATTAAGCAGGTTAATGATTAGTAAATATGAGCATTCTTTGATACTGTTAATAATTATTGTTTTGATTTTACTTGTTTACACATATTTTTTTTATTTATTATGGACAGTCATATATGAGATGAACCTTATTTTTGATAAACATTTTTTCAGTCATTAAATACAGTTCTTCAGAGGATGATTCTAGTCCACAAAGTGATGACAGTTCTGATGAAGGTATTTCTTTTTAATACCTTATCTAAGGAAAATTAAGTACCACTCTGCCACTCAAACAATTCTTTTGAAATAATGTTGTGGACCATAAAATACAGGTCAATTGAGATTTGTTTGTTTTGACATTTATTGTTCAAAAAGGATGCCCCTTACTGACCTTAATAATTTTCTTAAATTTCCTGATGATGATGATTATACATCTTAACCAAATCTTTTGAATCTTGAACACAATGACATGAATCACAAAACTCAGTCAAGTTTGATTTAGTTTGTTTTAGCATTTACTAGTCAAAGAGAACATACTTTAGTTATTAAAAATCAGATAATTATTTGGTTTCCGGATGATAAAAAGTACCACTATACCAAATCTTCAAATTTTAAGGCAATGTCATAGTTTGTGAAATCTTGATTAAGTTGAATTTGATGGTTTTGAGTTTTACAAATGAAGAGTAATGCCCCTAAGTTCCCTTAAGAATTTTTCTTAAATTTTATTTATACCTGGTTCATATTTAAAGATCTAGACTAGACCAAATCTTTTTGTAGGAAAATTTGTCTTACAAATTGGTATAAAACCATCAAATTTCCTGCATTTCGTGTAATGAGGTCTTGTCATTAATATTTAGATTAAGTGACAGCTTCATCGGAAATTAATGTGTGTAAAATATATCTTTGATTAAGGCTCATATATATATTTAACCAAAAACAATGAACAAAACAGAGGAAAAAGAAACCAAAGAGTCATTCAAACTTAATTTGAAAAAAAAAAGTGTCAAGGCCATGACAGAAAATGAAAAAGACCAAAAGACCAACAACGATTAACAACATTCAACTTAGATAACTCCAGACTGATTGACACAAGCCCCAACAAAAAACAGGAGTGATCTAAGTGCACAAGATGGTTGAGCAGACCCTGGTCCACATGTGGCACCGGTGGTGTTGCTGGTGTAAGTACGGACCTGGTTAAAAAGGAGTGTTTAGGTCAGATAATTAGTCTCAAAGTTATTGTTTCCTTTTTAGGCAACATTCAACAAAAGAGAGGATTGAAAAGAAAGAGCAAAGGTAATAAGGACAATAATTTCTATCAATTAAAATTTATTATTATAAACACTATACCTGTCCAGAGAACACAGTTATTTCATAGGGCATATTTGACAAAAAACACAAAATAAGAAAATGCTACTGCTATATTAAAAAAAAAGTGTACCACTCTTGAGACAAATTATGTCATAATTTTAGAAAATTTTATCGGTTCTAACTAAAAATATGGACAATTTTCAGTTAAAGGGGTCCATAATTCAGTTTGATAGCTTCAGGCATACAAACTTTTGATCTTTTCAAACTGGACCAAATCACTTCTTTACTTAAAAATTCATAGCCAATTTTTGTCGAGCCTGCGACTTTTGTAGCAGATAGCTCGACATAGGAATAGTGATCCGGCGGCTACGGCCGCGGCGTTAGCTAACTTCTTAAAAGCTTTATATTTTAGCAGGTGGAAGATCTGGATGCTTCATACTTTGTATATGGATGCCTCATGTTATGAAGTTTCTGTCAGTCACATGTCCAATGTCCTTGACCTCATTTTCATGGTTCAGTGACTACTTGAAAAAAAAGTTAAGATATATTGTAATGTAAAATTCTCTCTTATTATAAGTAATAGGATAACTATATTTGGTATGTGCGTACCTTGCAAGGTCCTTTTGCCCGTCAGACAGTTTTCACTTGACCCCGACCTCATATCATGGATCAGTGAACAAGGTTAAGTTTTGGTGGTCAAGTCCATATCTCAGATACTATAAGCAATAGGTCTGGTATATTCGGTGTATGGAAGGACTGTAAGGTGTACATGTCCAACTAGCAGGTGTCATCTGACCTTGACCTCATTTTCATGGTTCAGTGGTTATAGTTAAGTTTTTGTGTTTTGGTCTGTTTTTCTTATACTGTATGCAATAGGTCTACTATATTTGGTGTATGGAATGATTGTAAGATGTACATGTCTAGCTGGCAGGTGTCATCTGACCTTGACCTCATTTTAGGTTCAGTGGTCAAAGTTAAGTTTTTGAGTTTTGGTCTTTTTTTCTAATACTATATGCAATAGTTCAACTATATTTGGTGTATGGAAATATTTTATGATCTATATGTCAGTCACGCAGGTTTTATTTGACCTTGACCTCATTTTCAAGGTTCATTGCTCAGTGTTAAATTTTTGTGTTTTGGTCTGTTTTTCTTAAACTATAAGCAATAGGTCAACTATATTTGTTGTATGGAAGAATTGTTAGCTGTACATGCCTGCCTAGCATGGTTCATCTGACCTTGACCTAATTTTCATGGTTCATTGGTCAATGTTTAGTTTACTTGGTTAATGTTAAGTTTATGTGACAGTTGTAATAAAGCTTTATATTTAGGACTATCAACATAATATCAATGATTAGTAAAGAAGGTGAGACATTTCAGCGTGTGCACTCTTGTTTTTTTATATGTAATTTCATCCCCCTCTTACCTGCTTACTATTTTATGCAAAAAAATTAAAAAAAAGAATGAAATTTTGAAGGTGTATGAAAAAAAATTGCAAGTTATATATATGTATATATACACTGTCCACACTAGGGATTCTTTTTGTAGACAACTAAAATCAAAGGATGATAAGTATTAGAGATGAATTTCTTGTGAATATTGAATGGATATTTCTTGATGCAAGATTTTCTGATTCAAGGTGACAAAAAAAGTGCCTGTGTCATATACCTTCTCATACATGCAGTTATCCATTAAAGGGCTTAGGTGGAATCACAAAAAACATACTGCACAGTACAACAGACAATAAGACAATGGTTTAGTAAAAAAAATCAACGCTGTGGTTAAATACCTATTTGAAATAATACACATCTACGGTTGCAAACTTTCAACAGGTGCTATCCAGCACTTTGTTTATTCATTTCCTATTATCCATTTTTAGATGGTGACGTTCCCTTGTCACCATCTTATGGTGTTTATATATCTCAACTTGTTTGATTCTCTTGTGTATGTAACAACGTACTTGATTTTAACTAAAGAAATCTCTGTATTACTGAAAAATTATTACACCAGGGTTTTCGATATCACAAACTAGTCAAAACATTTACTAAATTTTATCATCAGTACAAGGACATCATTCGTAAATATAAATCAACATGCAGACATCTTATAAGTTCAGGTATTTCACATCCAATCTTTTATGGTAATATTCTTTACAAAGCACAAAAATTCACCTCAAAAGCTAACCAAACCTTAAAACAGACTTATTCAGAAGGGATATAGTTACGATACTGTTGTCAGGTCATTAAAGATGGCATATTTTGGTATTAATATTGATTCACTCATAGGGTCTTTGCATCGCAAATAAACACATTTATTATAAAACCAGTTTTTGGCATGATACGGGTTATGTTCTTGTATATTTTATGATGGTATGATACTAAACCCCTAACGGGAGGGATTGTGCTTGATTTTCATATGATGAAGACATAATCTTTCAATCAGTTTAATTGAGGTCTGGAGCTGGCATGTCAGTTACTGCTAGTAGCTCTTTGTTTATTTATGTATCATTGTCATTTTGCATAGTTTCTTTTGTTACCAATTCTGACTTCCGACTCAGATTTTTATTTAGGGGCCAACTGCGGGATTTTCTTGCTCCATTGAAGACCCATTGGTGGCCTTCAGCTGTTATCTGCTCTTTGGTCGGGTTGTTGTCTCTTAGACATATTCCCCATTTCCATTCTCAATTTTATTAGTCTAGATAGACTGACATTGGCCACAAAATGAGGTGATATTGAAACTGTTAAAACCAGTAAACCTCTCTCTTTGCCTATCTTGTACACACAACACTCAAATACCCAATAGAAAACATGTGCAGTGCAGTTACCAACAACATGAACACTAACTCTAACAGGGAAGTAAATTCAGAGGGTTATTATGGTCAAATATTCAATAGCTATTTCAAATTTAAGTTTTATGAATCAACTGCCCTGGTTAACCTGGGATCATTTAGGGGGGGGGATGTCTTGTATTCTGAGACTGGACGCGATCTTTTGAACTTTATATGCAGCCTTTAATAAAAGATTTTCCATCTTTGACTTTAATGGTCAGCATCATTACATGAATAGTAATTAATGTATGAATTGCAATACACCAATCATTCATATATTGGACCAAATTTAGTCAAATTGGTAACTTTATTGTAGATGAGGAAATTGAAGAAGAAATTGCAGAACTATTTAGAACAAGAAAGAAAGGTATGTTTTTGAGAATAAAGCAGTGGTTATCAAAGTTTAATAAGTCATATGGAAAAGAGGGAGTATTCATGTATTTTGGATAAAAGATGATCAGTATAGATTTTACTGAAATTTATATCTTAAAGATCAAAGCTATATTGTTGATGGGTTCTCTAATAAAAAAAAGACACATAGTATTAAATTGTTTCAATTTTTTTGGAATGCATTGAATGAATGTTCTGAATAATGAAATGATGGTCACCATATGGACAACAAGGAGCTTCAACATGTTTTTACAACCCTGAAGTCAACTATCTAGTCAAAACGCTGTTTGAATTTTTAGTACTCAATTGATATTAAAATAAGACGATGCAATATGATTGTCAATGAGACATCTCTCCACCAGAGACCAAATTATGTAGAAATTAGCAACTGTAGGTCATGGTATGGTCTTCAACAACGAGCAAACCATACCGCATAGTAAGCTATAAAAGGCCTTGAAATGACAAATGTAAAACAATACAAACAAGGAAACTTACGGCCTAAGTACATTAGATTGTAAATATTCTATAAAATTGGCCATGCATGCATCTCCATCAATAATGATGAGGTTACCCTGTGTCCACTACTATTCCTTCAGGGATAGCTCCTCATTACTCTGAATGGAACAAAAGGGAATCTTCATTTGAAAATAAAAATGTTGGTTATTTCCACAAAACAATATAGTGACAATTAATCACCTCAAACAAATTGATTTGAATTATTGCAATTCCAATTTAACACTTGAAAGCTTAACGTAATATTAAAGTTTAGTGTATTAAACCAGCTGTGTGCTGGAAAGAAATTTAGTGACATGTACCATTATTATCCTTTTTAAATAAATTTGTTGTTATTTATAAACAAATATAAATATTATCAAACACCAAAAAATTGCATTATCTTCGATCATTCATTCTTGAAAATGACAAGAGTGTAAGAAAAGGAATCCAACTGTATCAACCATATTCTTACTAACAGGTCCGCCATTAAATATGTACCTATTTTGAAACAGCTCTTATAAATTATAGATTTGCATAATTTTCTTTGTAGGAAGACGATATGTTCAATGGAGTGAGAAAGATTCAAACACTGTAAAATCCTACTTCAAACAATATATCCAGGATGTATCTAAAGAAGGTGCAAAAGGGAGAATGCCTGGTATGTTGTATTACATATAGTATTAAGGTCAATATCCTGAAGTAGAAACACCACTGATTCAAGCCCTACTATTTGAATTTAATGCATGGATTTTATTATTAAAAAAAGTCAGTCAAAAAGTATGTGTTCTGCAATGGTCACAAGTTTTCTCACTTTCATTTGATACCAAAATAACTATAATATTCAATATATTTTGAAACAAGCACTGTATTTAAAAAAGATTTCTAAATAATTTAGGTTGGAGTGTATATATAGAATAACCATACATTGTCTCAAAATATAAACTGTTCCAAATGAAATATGTATGGTAAAAACCATTATTTTTTAAATTGAAGTGGACAACTTAAAATTTCCTCGAATCTGTATGTTTTATTGACGTCATAAATAAAACTCTAAGGAATCGCATTGTCAACGTCATAAACAAGGCGATGACTGTATATCACAAATGAATATACGGTCAATGCAATTTGAATGCACAAATAGCACAGCTGCAGTATATATATATATATATATATTCAAAACAAGTAATGATGACGTTTTGGTTTCCTTGATTTTGACATGGTTTAGGTACTGGTCATAGAGAGTTTATACATCTATATTCTTTTAAAGCTGCACATGTTTGAAGAATAATACAGAAACTTCAATGGAAAAAATCAAGTAACTTTTATTTGCATGTTTGAGCTCTCAGAACATCATGACATAAAATGTTTTCATAATTTTCTTATTCCTTTTATCGCATGTTTATACATGTAGTTCAATTTGAAATTATGAACTCTGTTATTTCCTTTGAAATTAATTAGTTTGTCAAACTAGCTTGTGATTGTGTTGATAATTCAATGTCATGTTCATCTAGATATACAAAAAATTTGATGGAATATATTAATTTTGTTTTGAAATATATTAATTTAAGTTTGACACATGTCTATTTGTGACATAAACAATGTAACTTCAGTAATTCAAATGTATTGGCACAAAAAAGTGATAACATTTCAAGCAGAAAATCAACAACTTGAAATCCGGATATTAAATCTTTTACCGTTTGCATTCTGGTTATTAGTTTTTTGCGTCTAGATCAGATGGATGCTTGAAGTCACGAATTTCCCTTGCTTAGCTAGCAAGCGTCTTTATGACTGTGATTGCGAAACATGTGCGCACGTTTCTCTCCCCTAGACTTTAAAACCCCTGCATGATTTACACCAACAAAAACGATCTTGCCTTGAGACTTTGATTGAAATAAAAGATTTAAAGAATACAACTGTTTCATCGACCGTTTGATCTGCATGAATTGGAAGTTTCTGTAATTTAATTTTACTTGCCCACGGACAACAAAGGTTTGAATTTCCACTTTCCCGTGACCTAAATCAACTTGCCACGGGTGACGGGAAATGGGAATTCTAGAACACTGTGTCAGATTGGGATTTAGGTCAAACACATCTTTTTTAACAGAAATAATTTTGGTTATTTCATTGAGATCAGGGTTTTTCAACCGCATACCACTATAAAGATGATGTCCTCACAGTAAATGATTAAAAGTTTGTTGACTATGTTGAATGCATCTGTCCCATGGAACTTGAAATACAGGATACAACAGATATTGTTAAGTCTGCCTCATATCTTGACTTACATCTAGCAATTGACAATGAGGGTTGGTTGAGAACAAAAGTTTACAACCAAAGAGACGATTTCTGCTTCCCAATTGTGAACTTCCCATTTCTATTTAGCATCATTCCAATAGTGCCTGCATATGGAGTATATATTTCCCAGTTGAAAAGATATTAAAGAACTTGTTTTTCCTATCAAGCTTATTAGTTTGAATGTCCCTTTTGTATCTTTTGCCTCTCTTTTTAGCTCACCTGGCCCTAAGGTCCTGGTGAGCTTTTCTCACCACTTGTCATCATTGTTGTCATCTGTCATCGTACAAAAACCTTCTCCTCTGAAACTACTTGGCCAAATTTAACCAAACTTGGCTACAATCTTCATTGGTGTATCTAGTTTTAAAATTTCTCCTATGGCACCGCCTGCTAACCAAGATGGCAGACATGGCTAAAAATAGAACATAGGGGTAAAATGCAAGTTATTGGTGTTATTTTGAAAACCGTTATAAAAAGAGAAAATTTGACTGGGCAAAAATGTTCTGAATGTTGAGCTCTATCAAATGTACATTTATGTTAAAACTGTCAGAAAACTTCTTATATGAGTGATTGCCCTTAAATTACAAATTTTACCATTTTTTTTTCCATTTTTATACGCCCGTTTACGGGACGTATTATGGTATACCGTTGTCTGTCTGTCTGTCCGTCCGTCTGTCCGTCGTCAACATGTCGGACATTAACTCAAAAATGCTTTAACCAATATTCATAAAAATTTGGTGAATTGTTTATATCTATTGACGTGAACTCCCTTTTGATTTTTATAAAATTTAGATTTTACGTTTCCGAGTTATGGGGTTTTATTCATTTAAAAAAGGGGGATTTTCCAGTTTTTCGGACAATAAGTCAAGAATGCTTTCACCAACTTGCAAGAAATTGTGGTAAATTGTTTATATCTATTGACACGAGCTCCCGTTCAATTTTTATAAATTTAAGATTTTACGTTTCCGAGTTGCAGGGTTTTATTCATAAAAAAAGGAGGGATTTTCCAGTTTTCGGACAAAATCTCACAAAATGCTTTCAGCAATTCTTATGAAACTTTGGTGAATTGTTTGTATGTATTGATGTAAGCTCCCTTTAAAATTTTATAAATTTTACATTTTACATTTCTGAGTTATGGGGTTTTATTCATTAAAAAAAGGGGTGATTTTCCAGTTTTCGGACAATAACTCAAAAATGCTGTCACCAATTTGCAATTCTCATGAAACTTTGGTGAATTGTTTATATCTATTGATGTAAGCTCCCTTTTTATTTTCATAAATTTCTAAATTGACAACAGATTTACTAAGTATTGCACAACAGCAAGAAATCTTTAATTGAATATAAATTCAATTCATATAACCAATTTCAAGTTCTTTGACTACATTTATTCAGAAACCTATAATATGTCAAATATTTAATTACAATCCAAATTCAGACCTGAATCAAGCTTGAATATTGTGTCCATTTTTTCCCCAACTGTTCAGGGTTGGACATCTGTTGGCGTATCTAGCTGCACTCAGCGAAGCAGTTTATTGGCGTTTATCTTGAAAACTATGATAGAAAAAGAGAAACTTTATATTGCATAAATGATCAGCAAGACAAGTTCTACAAATAAGACAATTTGGAGGAAATTGTCCGAGGACTTCTTATTGGAGTTATTGCCCTTTAATGACGATTTTTTTTTACCATTTTCTCTGCGTTTTGCCTTATATATATGACAAAAATTATAATAGATAATAAACACTTTAGATCACAAAAATGATCAGCATGGCAAGATCTACTAAGAAGTCAAATTTTGCAGATATATTTGGTAGACTCTTACTCTTTATAGAAGTGATAGCTCTTAAATGAGGATTTTTTTTTACCCTCTTATGTGTTTTAAGCAAAAACTAAAGAAAATTGAGAGAAACTAAACAGACTAAATGATCAGTAATACAAGATCAATTAAACAGAGATTTTGTCATGAATTCTTATTCTTGTCTACAATGTTGGAGATTGTCCTTTATTTAAAATACATTGTATGTACATAGACCAACGTAAGCAACACAGGCTCTTTAGAGCCGCTTGTTTTTCATTCTAATGGAAAGTTCACAGTTGGAAAACTGAAATCATTGTTAAAAGGTTGCTTTCAACTGACCCTTATTGTCAATTTATAAATGTTAGTCAAGATATGAGGCAGGGTTAACTGAAAGCTACATATATGCATAGGAACTATTTTGTTTCAAATATGAACTTCTTTCTGGTATGATCTTTCTGACTTGGCCTAATAGACCACTTTCAAGTTATGTCCTTCACCAGAAAGGTTTGTCAATTATCACGCCTTGGTCACGTCATAAACCAGAACCAGATTTAGAGGAATGCCTGTATCCCTGCACTTTTAAAGATCATCAAGTGTCTTCGTGATCATCATTATGCAGGATAAGCTAGAAACAATGTTTGTTCCCTAGGTACTTAATCACAGCAGTGCTTATTATCAATTATAAGAATTTAATTTGCTGAATAATCTTTGCAATATGGCATCCTATTTTTTCACTAGCTTGCTCAACATAGGAAGGAAGTTCGAAGCACATATATGCACAAATGAGGTTCAATAAAACCAAAATTTTTGACGGAAATGTAACGAACTCAAAAGTAGAGTTACACCTGAAATGCTCCAATGAGAAGCTTATTCGTTGACATTGTTTAAAATTTTTCAACATTGCTATGTCATGTAAGTTGCACTGTATTTGTTTAAGCTAGCTATGGCTGTCATTGGTAGTTAGTTTTCTCATTGAATTGATTTTAATTTCTCATTCCTGTGGCATTTAAAGCTTACTATGTGGTATGGGTTTTATAGCTCATGGTTAAAAGAAGTATGGTGGCCTATAGTTTTTAACTTCTACTAATTTGGACTCTAGTGGAGAGTTGTCTCATTGACAATCATATCATAATAATTTTGTGAAAATAAAATTGAGAATGGAATTGGGGAAGAGACAACAACCCGACCAAAGAGCAGAAAACAGCCAATGCCTACAATTGGTCTTCAACGCAACGAGAAAATCCCGCACCCTGAGGCGTGCTTCAGCTGATACTGTACTGGTTCAGTGATAATGGACGTCATACTAAACTCTGAAACATATAAATGAACTAAAATTAAAAATCATACAAGACTAACAAAGGCCAGAGGCTCCTGACTTGGGACAGGCGCAAAAATGGGGCAGGGTTAAACATGTTTTGTGAGATCTCAACCCTCCCCCTATACCTCTAGCCAATGTAGAAAAACAAACACACAGCAATACGCACAGTAAAACTCAGTTTAAAAGAAATCCGAGTCTGATGTCAGAATTGGTAACAAAAGAAACTAAGCAAAATGACAATGATGCATAAATTAACAAAAGACTACTAGTAGTTACTTACATGCCAACTCCAGACCTCACTTAAACTGATTGAAAGTTATGTCTTCATCATATGAAAATCAAGCACAATCCCTCCCGTTAGGGGTTTAGTATCATACCATCATAAAATATATGAGAAGAACATAACCCGTATCATGCCAACAACTGGTTTTAGAATAAATGTATTTCCGATGCAAAGACCCTATGAGTGAATCAATATTAAAGCCAAAATATGCCATCTTTAATGACCTGACAACAGTATCGTAACTCTATCCCTTCTTAATAAGTCTTTAAAGGTTTGGTTAGCTTTTGAGGTGAATGCCAACATTTTTGTGCTTTGTAAAGAATATTACCATAAAAGATTGGATTCTTTTAAATGCTGTGAAACTATTTACTTTGGGGAATCATCTACAAACAAAGCTCATTTAATGCTAATTGGTATCAAACAGTAGCAATAGAATATAGTTGCCAATTGATGAGATTGCCAAGAATTAGAATACTTAGATTATGCTTCTTTCAGTAACTTTTTAGCTCACCTGGCCCAAAGGGCCAAATGAGCTTTTCTCATCACTTGGCGTCCGTCGTTGTCATCCGTCATCGTCGTCGTCCGTCGTCGTTAACTTTTACAAAAATCTTCTCCTCTGAAACTACTGGGCCAAATTTGACCAAACTTGGCCAAAATCATCATTGGGGTATCTAGTTTAAAAAATGTGTCCGGTGACCCCGCCAACTAACCAAGATGGCCGCCATGGCTAAAAATAGAACATAGGGGTAAAATGTAGATTTTGGCTTATATCTCTGAAACCATAGCATTTAGAGCAAATCTGACATGTTAAATTGTTTATCAGGTCAAGATTTATCTGCCCTGAAATTTTCAGATGAATTGGACAACCCGTTGTTGGGTTGCTGCCCCTGAATTGGTAATTTTAAGGAAATTTTGCCGTTTTTGGTTATTATCTTGAATATTATTATAGATAGAGATAAACTGTAAACAGCAATAATGTTCAGCAAAGTAAGATCTACAAATAAGTCAACTTGACCAAAATGGTCAGTTGACCCCTTAAGGAGTTATTGCCCTTTATAGTCAATTTTTAACCATTTTTCCTAAATTTTTGTAATCTTTTACAAAAATCTTCTCTGAAACTACTAAGACAAATTTAACCAAACTTGTCCACAATCATCATTAGGGTATTTAGTTTAAAAAATGTGTCCGATGACCCCGCCTGCGAACCAAGATGGCCGACATGGCTAAAAAATAGTACATAGGGTAAAATGCATTTTTTGGCTCATATCTCTGAAACCAAAGAATTTAGAGCAAATCTGATGAGTATAAAATTGTTCATTCGGTCAAGATCTATCTGCCCTGAAATTTTCAGACCAATCAGGCAACCCGTTGTTGGGTTGCTGCCCCTGAATTGGTAATTTTAAGAAAATTTTGCCGTTTTTGTTTTATTATCTTGAATATTATTATAGATAGAGATAAACTGGAACAGCAATAATGTTCAGCAAAGTAAGATCTACAAATAAGTCAACTTGACCAAAATGGTCAGTTGACCCCTTAAGGAGTTATTGCCCTTTATAGTCAATTTTTAACCATTTTTCGTAAATTTTTGTAATCTTTTACAAAAATCTTCTCCTCTGAAACTACTTAGACAAATTTAACCAAACTTGTCCACAATCATCATTATTGTATCTAGTTTAAAAAATGTGTCCGATGACCCCGCCCACGAACCAAGATGGCCGACATGGCTAAAAAATAGTACATAGGGTAAAATGCAGTTTTTGGCTCATATCTCTGAAACCAAAGCTTTGAGAGCAAATCTGATGAGTATGAAATTGTTCATTAGGTCAAGATCTATCTGCCCTGAAATTTTCAGACAAATCAGGCAACCCGTTGTTGGGTTGCTGCCCCTGAATTGGTAATTTTAAGGAAATTTTGCCGTTTTTGGTTATTATCTTGAATATTATTATAGATAGAGATAAACTGTAAACAGCAATAATGTTCAGCAAAGTAAGATCTACAAATAAGTCAACATGACCAAAATGGTCAGTTGAACCCTTAAGGAGTTATTGCCCTTTATAGTCAATTTTTAACCATTTTTCGTAAATTTTTGTATTCTTTTACAAAAATCTTCTCCTCTGAAACTACTTAGACAAATTTAACCAAACTTGTCCACAATCATCATTATTGTATCTAGTTTAAAAAATGTGTCCGATGACCCCGCCCACGAACCAAGATGGCCGACATGGCTAAAAAATAGTACATAGGGTAAAATGCAGTTTTTGGCTCATATCTCTGAAAACAAAAGCATTTAGAGCAAATCTGACAGGCTAAAATTGTTTATCAGGTCAAGATCTATCTGCCCTGAAATATTCAGACCTATCAGGCAACACCTTGTTGGGTTGCTGCCCCTGAATTGGTAATTTTAAGAAAATTTTGCCGTTTTTGGTTATTACCTTGAATATTATTATAGATAGAGATAAACTGTAAACAGCAATAATGTTCAGCAAAGTAAGATCTACAATTAAGTCAACTTGACCAAAATTGTCAGTTGACCCCTTAAGGAGTTATTGCCCTTTATAGTCAATTTTTAACCATTTTTCGTAAATTTTTGTAATCTTTTACAAAAATCTTCTCCTCTGAATCTACTGAGACAAATTTAACCAAACTTGTCCACAATCATCATTATTGTTTCTAGTTTAAAAAATGTGTCCGATGACCCCGCCTGCGAACCAAGATGGCCAACATGGCTAAAAAATAGTACATAGGGATAAAATGCAGTTTTTGGCTCATATCTCTGAAACCAAAGCATTTAGAGCAAATCTGACAAGATAAAATTGTTCATTAGGTCAAGATCTATCTGCCCTGAAATTTTCACACCAATCAGGCAACAAGTGTTGGGTTACTGCCCCTGAATTGGTAATTGACCCCTTAAGGAGTTATTGCCCTTTATAGTCAATTTTTTACAATTTTCATAAATTTTGTAAATTTTTGTAAATTTTTACAAAATATTTTCCACTTTAACTACTGGGCCAAGTTCATTATAGATAGAGATAATTGTAAGCAGCAAGAATGTTCAGTAAAGTAAGATCTACAAACTCATCACCATCACCAAAACACAATTTTGTCATGGATCCATCTGTGTCCTTTGTTTTATATGCACATATACCAAGGTGAGCGACACAGGCTCTTTAGAGGCTCTAGTTTATTCACAAAAGTGAATTCTCCATATGTATAGTGTTATTTCAAGAAAACCCAAGAAGCAGAGACCAAATCTCTAAAATAGTTTCAATTATATTTTTTTTTATTAATACAGACGTGATATTTTATCTAGGTTTTAAGGACATAAAAATATTTATGGAGTTATGTCCAAATGTAATGGCACAAGAGAGTGACTTTTTGACAAGGAGAGATATTATCAAATCAAAAGTATTTAATGAAAGAAAAAAGTTTAGAGGAATATATGAGGAGAGGAAAAAGAAATTTTCCTGTTAAGGTATGTGTTTATTTTAACTACTAATGATTGCTGTAAAACTTTCAACTTCAAAATTTTATTTGATAGTTATTATTATAAAACCATACATTATTTGTACGAAATTAAGCTCTCTTTAAAGTAAAATAACCAATTTAAATTTAAATTTAGAAAAGTAGTTGGAGATAAGATAAGCTTTAATAAGGTTTAAACTGAGCATACTTTAACACCATTACAATTTCCTCCTTGATCAAGTTTAGTTTCCATATACCAATTCGCCGTTTCAGAATCTAATGCATTCTGGGTAGTATTTTTAAAAGCGTACACCAAAACGTTGTGATTGGTTTAAAACGTTGTTAACAATGGAAATTGAACCAATGACGTAACATTATTTTCATTTTGGTGTATGGACTATGAGATTACCCTTTAAATTCTGAAAAGACAAATTATTGATGGCATGTAGTTTTGAATCAAGGCTTCCAAAACGGTCATATATTCCGGACAATTGTATAATTTCCGGTAAAAGTCCGGCTGTGCAAAGCATGAAACGGTCATCTACTTTTTAGTTGTCAATGCTTTCTTAAGAGACGGTCATTTTAGCATAATTCGCGATCTTTTTGACCCAACCTTTTGCCTTTAACAGCCACACATTTCCGGTCATAAAAGTAACATGATGATTAATTACTATAAAAAAAACCCCTACTTCAATACTTTATAATTTTAATCAAGGCTAATTAGTTGTTGGACTACTGAAATCTACATGTTCAGGTGACAGGTAAACTATTTCCAGTACCGGACATCATATAAATTGATCGGTCTATTCAAAGTTAATTTCTTACATTTCAGCGGTTTCTATCTAATTGATTTAGTCCAAAAGATTGAAATTATAAGAAATACGTTTATAAACATGATTTGATGAAAAATTTAAAAAGGTTTTTTAATCTAATGTCAATCATTGGAGTGGCCATCTGATTACCATAATTGCCTTTTGTGACTTAGTCTTAAGGGATTAAAATCGGGATAAGATATAAAATGTACGGCTGGCTCAAATATTTTTTGGAAGCCCTGTTTTGAATACTGCTTTCCTTTTGTCATTTTATTTTTCTATGATTATCAGAGTTTTTATTTTAAAGGCTTCAAATATTGGAAAAAAGGAGGAAAGAAAAAGGGATTTTTAATGATAATGATAATTCAATCAATATAATAAGATAACTTATTCATTAAATTTTAATACAATTAAAGTTTGATATGTCAATATTGACAAAAACTGTGTTTTAAACTATTTAGTTTGTATTTGCATGCCCTCTATATATTCTGGGTCTTAAAACTGTTTGCACAACAACCAAAATATACCTGTTTTATATCAAAGTATAACAAATGTAATATATTTTGAAGACATAAATGCATTTAATGTGACTTAGATCAGTAAACAATTGACATTTCCCTTCTTCCAACTTTTATATTTTTATACGACCGCAAAAAATTGTGCGGTCGTATTTTGGTATGACGTTGGCGTCGTCGTCGTCGTCCGAAGACACATTGATTTTCGCACTCTAACTTTAGTTTAAGTGAATGGATCTCTATGAAATTTTACCATAAGGTTCAATACCACAAAAGGAAGGTTGGGATTGATTTTGGGGGTTATGGTATCAACAGTTAAGGAATTAGGGGCCAAAAATAAGCATTTTTGTAACTTCCAGACATAACTTGTGTGTTAGAGTATGGATCATTCTGACATTGTACCACAAGGTTCCATATCACAAAGGGAATGCTGGGATTGAGTTTGGGGGTAATTGCCTAAAAAGTTTAGGAAAAAGGGGCCAAAAATAAGCATTTTTCTCTCTGAAATTGTACTGCAAGGTACCATACCACAAAGGGAAGGCTGGGATTGATTTTGGGGGTAATTGCCTCAAAATTTTAGGAATTAGGGGCAAAAAAGGGGCAAAAAACAAGCATTTTTCTAGTTTCAGGACAATAACTTGTTTGTAAGTGTATGGATCTTTATGAAATTGTACTACAAGGTTTCATATCACAAAGGTAAAGCTGGGTTAGAGTTTGGGGGTAATTGCCCTAAATGTTTAGGAATTTGGGGCCAAAAAGGGGCCAAAAACAAGCATTTTTCTAGTATCCAGACAATAACTTGTGTTCAAGTGTATGTATCTCTCCAAAATTGTACTGCAAGGTACCATACTACAAAGGGAAGGCTGGGATTGAGTTTGGGGTGATGAATCATAAGGGGGTTCAAAAAATTTGGGGGAGGGATTTTTTTTCCTTTTTTTTCTTTAAAATTTTGCATTTTAAATTGGTTATTTCTGATTTATATATAAAAGCAAATAATAATGATATGGTTTGAATAGGTAAATTAAAAGTTTTATAAGTTCTTAGACCACATTCATTGTGTGTCAGAAACCTATGCTGTGTCAAATATTTAATCACAATCCAAATTCAGTGCTGTATCAAGCTTGAATGTTGTGTCCATACTTGCCCCAACTGTTCAGGGTTCTACCTCTGCGGTCGTATCAAGCTGTGCCCAGCGGAGCATTTTATTTAGCTAAGTATTGGGTTGTATAATGCTTTAACAATGAACTTTTTACCAGAAATTCATATCTTCAATTCCTCAGCCTGACGATGAGATATGGTGTACTAGTAGACTGTCCTCAGCCTGACACAGAGATATGGCGTACCTGTAGACTGTTCCTCAGCCTGACACAGAGATATGGTGTACTAGTAGACTATTCCTCAGCCTAACACAGAGATATTGTGTACCTGTAGACTGTTCCTCAGCCTGACGAAGAGATATGGTGTACTAATAGACTGACCCCAGCCTGACACAGAGATATGGTGTACCTGTAGACTGTTCCTCAGCTTGACACAGAGATATGGTGTACCTGTAGACTGTGTCTCAGCCTGACACAGAGATATGGTGTACCTGTAGACTGTTCCTTAGTCTGACACAGAGATATGATGTACCTGTAGACTGTGTCTCAGCCTGACACAGAGATATGGTGTACCTGTAGACTGTTCCTCAGCATGACAGAGATTTGGTGTACCTGTAGACTGTTCCTCAGCCTGACACAGAGATTTGATGTACCTGTAGACTGTTCCTCAGCCTGACATAGAGATATGGTGTACCTGTAGACTGTTTCTCAGCCTGACACAGAAAAATGGTTTACCATTAGACTGTTCTTCAGCCTGGCACAGAGATAAGGTGTACCTGTAGACTGTTCCTCAGCTCGACACAGAGTAATGGCTTACCATTAGACTGTTCTTCAGCCTGACACAGATATGTGGTGTACCTATAGATTGATTCCTCAGCCTGACACAGATAAAGGATGTTACTGTAGACTGACTCCAGCCTGATAAAGAGATAAGATATACCAATAAACTGTTCTTGAGTCTGAAGAAATTATAATGTATACTGAAAGACTGTTCCTCAGCTGCTGTCTTTAACATAGTTTGTCAACTGTAGCATATACTGCCATTTTTACTGTGTCTTAAATCCGCTGCTGTCTGTAACCAGTGTATTTCAGCTGTATCATCTACTGCCATCAGTAACCATCAATTGTCAGCTGTACCATCTGCTGCCATCTGTAACCATCGGTCAACTGTATCATCCTCTGCCGTCTGTACCATCGTTTGGCAACTGTATCATATACTACTATCAGTAACCACCGTTTTTCAACTGTGCAATCTGCAGAATTCTGTTACCAAACATATGGAAAGTTTGAAAAACGATGGTACAGTAGACAAAAGATGTATGCTGTAATGGCAGCTAGCTAGCAGTTGGTAGAGCTGACAGACGATTAGATGGTACAGATGATGGTTACAAATAATGATTATAGATGGCAGCGGTATCTACTTAGATCTGTTACTTTATTTGTCAATTTTACCATCTGCTGCCATATGTAACGGTCGTTTGTTAACTGTACCATTTATTTTGGTCATCTGTACAATTTTCTGCCATCTGTAACCATCGTTTGTCAACTGTACCAGCTGCTGCAATCTGTAACATCTACCATCATCTGTACTATTGTTTGTTAATTGTAACATCTTCTGCCACCTGTAACATCATTTTTCAACTGTACAACCTGCTGTCATCTGTATCATCTACCACCATCTTTAAAATCGTTTGTCTCCTGTACCATCTACCACCATCTACAACATCATTTTTCAACTGTTCCGTATACCTCCATCTATAACATCGTTTGTCATCTGTAACATCTACCACCATGTGTATCATCGTTTATCATCTGTACCATCTAGCACCATCTGTAACATATTCTGTCATCTGTAACATCATTTTTCATCTGTACCATCTACCACCAGCTGTAACATCGTTTATCATTTGTAACATCTACCACCATGTGTATCATCGTTTGTCAACTGTACCATTTACCACCATCTGTAACATATTCTGTCATCTGTACCATCTACCACAATCTGTATCATTGTTTGTCATCTGTACCATCTACCACCGTCTGTATCATCGTTTGTCAACTGTACCATCTACCACCATCTGTCACATCTTCTGCCATCTGTACCATTTACCAACGTCTGTAACATTGTTTGTCATCTGTACCATCTACTACCATCTGTAACATCGTTTGTCATCTCTACCATCTTCCACCGTCTGTATCATCGTTTGTCAACTGTACCATCTACCACCATCTGTATCATCGTTTGTCAACTGTACCATCTACCACTATCTGTCACATCTTCTGCCATATGTATCGTCTACCACCGTCTGTATCATCGTTTGTCATCTGTACCATCTACCACCATGTGTATCATCGTTTGTCAACTGTACCATCTACCACCATCTGTCACATCTTCTGCCATCTGTATCATCTACCACCGTCTGTATCATCGTTTGTCGTCTGTACCATCTACCACCATGTGTATCATCGTTTGTCATCTGTACCATCTACCACCGTCTGTATCATCGTTTGTCATCTGTACCATCTACCATCATCTGTAACATCGTTTGTCATCTGTACCATCTACAACAGTCTGTATCATCGTTTGTCATCTGTAACATCGTTTATCATCTGTACCATCTACCACCATCAGAAACATCGTTTTTCATCTGTACCATCGTTTGTCTTCTCCACCATCTACCACCATCTGTATCATCTACCAAGATCTGTATCATCGGTTGTCAACTGTACCATCTACCACCATCAGTCACATCTTCTGCCATCTGTATCATCTACCACCGTCTGTATCATCGTTTGTCGTCTGTACCGTCTACCACCATGTGTATCATCGTTTGTCATCTGTATCATCTACCATCATGTGTATCATCGTTTGTCAACTGTACCATTTACCACCATGTGTAACATCATTTGTCATCTGTACCGTCTACCACCATCTGTAACATCGTTTGTCAACTGTACCACCTTCCACCATCTGTATCATCGTTTGTCATCTGTACAATCTACCACCATCTGTAACATCGTTTGTCAACTGTACCATTTACCACCATGTATATCATCGTTTGTCAACTGTACCATCTACCACCTTCTGTGACATCGTTTGTCAACTGTACCATCTACCACCATCTGTGACATTGTTTGTCAACTGTATCATCTACCACCATCTGTGACATCGTTTGTCAACTGGACCATCTACCACCATCTGAAACATCATTTGTCATCTGTACCGTCTACCACCATCTGTATCATCGTTTGTCAACTGTATCATCTACCACCATCTGTGACATCGTTTGTCATCTGTACTATCTACCACCGTCTGTAACATCGTTTGTCATCTGTACCATCTACCACCATCTGTAACATCGTTTGTCATCTGTACCATCTACCACCGTCTGTATCATCGTTTGTCATCTGTACCATCTACCACCATGTTTATCATCGTTTGTCATCTGTACCATCTACCACCGTCTGTATCATCGTTTGTCATCTGTACCATATACCATCATCTGTACCATCTACCACCATCTGTAACATCGTTTTTCATCTGTACCATCGTTTTTCATCTGTACCATCGTTTGTCTTCTGCACCTTCTACCACCATCTGTATCATCGTTTGTCAACTGTATCATCTACCCTCTGTATCATCGTTTGTCAACTGTACCATCTACCACCATCTGTCACATCTTCTGCCATCTGTACCATCTACCACCGTCTGTAACATCGTTTGTCTTCTGTACCATCTACCACCGTCTGTATCATCGTTTGTCATCTGTACCATCTACCACCATGTATATTATCGTTTGTCATCTGTACCATCTACCACCATCTGTAACATCATTTGTCATCTGTACCGTCTACCACCATCTGTAACATCGTTTGTCATCTGTACCATCTACCACCATGTTTATCATCGTTTGTCAACTGTACCATCTACCACCATGTGTAACATCATTTGTCATCTGTACCGTCTACTACCATCTGTAACATCGTTTGTCGTCTGTACCACCTACCACCATCTGTAACATCGTTTGTCAACTGTACCACCTTCCACCATCTGTATCATCGTTTGTCATCTGTACAATCTACCACCATCTGTAACATCGTTTGTCAACTGTACCATTTACCACCATGTATATCATCGTTTGTCAACTGTACCATCTACCACCATCTGTGACATCGTTTGTCAACTGTACCATCTACCACCATCTGTGACATCGTTTGTCAACTGTACCACCTTCCACCATCTGTATCATCGTTTGTCATCTGTATAATCTACCACCATCTGTAACATCGTTTGTTAAGTGTACCGTCTACCACATCTGTATCATCGTTTGTCAACTGTATCATCTACCACCATCTGTGACATCGTTTGTCATCTGTACTATCTACCACCGTCTGTAACATCGTTTGTCATCTGTACCATCTACCACCGTCTGTAACATCGTTTGTCATCTGTACCATCTACCACCATCTGTAACATCGTTTGTCATCTGTACCATCTACCACCGTCTGTATCATCGTTTGTCATCTGTACCATCTACCACCATGTTTATCATCGTTTGTCATCTGTACCATCTACCACCGTCTGTATCATCGTTTGTCATCTGTACCATCTACCATCATCTGTACCATCTACCACCATCTGTAACATCGTTTTTCATCTGTACCATCGTTTGTCTTCTGCACCTTCTACCACCATCTGTATTATCGTTTGTCAACTGTAACACCTACCCTCTGTATCATCGTTTGTCAACTGTACCATCTACCACCATCTGTCACATCTTCTGCCATCTGTACCATCTACCACCGTCTGTAACATCGTTTGTCTTCTGTACCATCTACCACCGTCTGTATCATCGTTTGTCATCTGTACCATCTACCACCATGTATATTATCGTTTGTCATCTGTACCATCTACCACCATCTGTAACATCATTTGTCATCTGTACCGTCTACCACCATCTGTAACATCGTTTGTCATCTGTACCATCTACCACCATGTTTATCATCGTTTGTCAACTGTACCATCTACCACCATGTGTAACATCATTTGTCATCTGTACCGTCTACTACCATCTGTAACATCGTTTGTCGTCTGTACCACCTACCACTATCTATAACATCGTTTGTCAACTGTACCACCTTCCACCATCTGTATCATCGTTTGCCAACTGTACCATCCACCACTATCTGTAACATCATTTGTCATCTGTACCCTCTACTACCATCTGTAGCATCATATGTCATCTGTACCATCTACCACCATGTGTAACATCGTTTGTCAACTGTTCCATCTAACACCATCTGTAACATCATTTTTCAACTGTATCATCTACCGCCATCTGTATCATCGTTTTCATCTGAACCGTCTACCACCATCTGTAACATCTTCGACCATCTGTATCATCGTTTGTCAACTGTACCATCTACCACCATGTGTATCATCGTTTGTCAACTGTACCATCTACCACCATCTGTAACATCATTTGTCATCTGTACCATCTACCACCGTCTGTATCATCGTTTGTCATCTGTACCATCTACCACCGTCTGTATCATCGTTTGTCATCTGTACCATCTACCATCATCTGTGACATCGTTTATCATCTGTACCGTCTACCACTATCTGTAACATTGTTTGTCATCTGAACCGTCTACCACCATCTGTAACATTGTTTCTCAACCGTATCATCTACCACC